ACTCTGCCTGAGAAAAGTGTGCCAACAAACAACTAAAATATGATATCATGTATGCAATATTAAATTTGAGAATTCTAATGAACTATTTGAATTATTATATTCTATTTGATTTTTTATCTCCATCCTACCGATCTTTTTCACCAAAACAATACACTTTCCCTTTACAATCACTTTTTCTTGTTATTCAACAGATGTACATTTTGACCTCTGAATGTTCTAATCTAATTAGAATACCTCACTTACAAGCATTGGTCAGAAACAGACATGTGACTATTTGAGGGTTCTTGGAGCAATCAGAAGAAATCTGGGAATTTGAACATAATCTTTCTTGGATTAATTTACTCCGACTGGGCAAAGCTTATGTGATGATAAGGGAAGCGGTCGGACACAGTCCAGCAGAGAATGTTCTACCGCGCTCACCCAGAGCCCGAGGATAAGTCAGCACTCAGGCTGGCTGTCAAAAGAGAGTCGGTGACAAATTAGGTCCTTGGTGAAAAGGAATCAACTCCTGAAGCAAGTCTCACACAAACATTTTCCCTAAGAGTGGACGTTTGATCACGTTTATACATGTCATATATTTTCATTTTTACTTAAACTGGTGTGGGCAGCTGTGTCTTTAACTTGTAATTAAGGAATCTGTATCTCAAGTGACACATGCACCTATCTAAGCAACAAACAAAGAAGTGGTATAACAGAGAACTTGAGCATTTCCAGTGGAGGTAAGCATCGTGGAATGCATTATACTGAAATTTAAAATAATGAAAATAACAATAACTTTTAAAATACACGAACCGATTCATTTACTAGTTGTGAGCGCACTTTCCTATAGCAGAAATTAGCAGGCAGAAAAATATAATGTTAAAAACAAACAAACAAAAAGCATGACAATATATAGAACTCAGGACATATCCTGTGGTGTCAGAACATAAATAAGTGGATAAGACTTGGGCAAAATGTAGATGAGTCTCACATGGGCCAGCGATTGAGGAACTTTGTATGTTATGAGAAAACAGTCAAGGTACAGTTTGTTCTGCATATTATAGGGAATGATTTCCTGGACTATCTAGTAGTTGGTGAGCCTGTCACTGGCAGAGTCTGTGCTGAAGCCAGGGACAATTATGAGGAGATAAATTATCAGAGTCTGCACAAAGCAGGAATAAAAGAAAAGGAAAATAGAAGCTTCTTTTAAGAGGTATTTAGGAGGCAAAAGGGAGCCCTGGTGGCATAGTGGTTACACATCGGGCTGAGATCCACGTGGTTGGTAGTTTGAAACCACCAGCAGCTCAGAAGGAGGAAGACAGGGCTGTCTTTTACTTATACAATTATAGTCTCAGAATCCCAAAGGGGCAGTTCACCCTGTCCTACAGGGTTGCTGTGAGTCACGAATGATTTGATGGCAGTGGGGTTTTGTTTGTTTGTTTGTTTTCTTTTGTTTTTAATAGGAGGCAAACTTCTTTAGACCTAGTAATTAATCAGATGCAGAGACAAAGAGATGGGAGAAAGTCAGGATAATGCCCAGAGGTGTTGCGTGAATCAGCTAAGTTTTAATGTTATTAGCAGCATATTTTTGGTAGTCAAATGCGTTGAAGGGAAAATTAGAAAACAGAAGTCAAAATACAAATGGCTAAATACCAAAAGAGGGAAAATTGAAGACTTTCATTATGTTTTCAGAATAGAGTGCAGTGATTAAATATCTGAATTTCACATTCCTGAATTTGAATCTTACCAACATAGTTATTTTGTAAAATTTATCTTCATTGAATGACACTAATTTGATTTAAAACTTTATAAGTAACTGAATGGGAGCCCGTATAAACTTTCCTTTTAATTAATACTCCATTCTCAAAATGTTACTGATGAGCTTCACCAATATTACCGAAGTATTGTAGCTAAAATAGCAGAATATTTTAACTGAAAAATCAGTTACAATAAAAATGCTATCTAGTGTCTTAAAGTCTTGTTCAATCATGTAGCCATCTAAGTTAGGTGCCAGTAAAGTTTACACAGAAGAAACATAGCAGCCGGTGTGTTCCAAGGATTATAAATAATAAAATCTAAATCCAAAGGAGGGAGCAATATCAGAACTTAAATTCTGAACACCCAGTTTGCAGAAGGCTAATAATGACAATGGGCATTAAGCCTCTGACCTTGTGGTCCAGATACAGGAATAGCCTTGCTATCAGATAGTGAGCACTGTAAAGCTGATAAAGTTAGATAACTTTCCTCTAGTTCGTAAATGCTTTCCCCCCACCCCACTATCATGATCTCAATTCTACCTTACAAATCTGGCTAGACCAGAGGATGTACATTGGTACAGATAGCAACTGGAAACACAGGGAATCCAGGACAGATGACCCCTTCAGGACCAGTGGTGAGAGTGGCAATGCCTGCAGGGTGGAGGGAGTGTGGGGTGAAAAGGGGGAACCGATTACAATTATCTATGTATAGCCTCCTCCCCGGGGGATAGAAAACAGAAAAGGGGGTGAGGGGAGACGTCAGACAGTATAAAATATGACAAAATAATAATAATTTATGAATTATGAAGGTTTCATGAGGGAGGGGGAACTGGGGAGGGAGGGGGAAAATGAGGAGCTGATATTAAGGGCTCAAGTAGAAGGCAAATGTTTTGAGAACGATGATGGCAACAAATGTACAAATGTGCTTGACACAATGGATGTAGGTATGGATTGTGATAAGAATTGTACGAGCCCCAATAAAATGATTTTAAAAAATGGAACACCTTATAATTTGACTCACTTCAAATTTATTCTAGTTTTTTAATATTCTATGCTTTTTTTTTTTAACCAATGAGGGTTTTCTGTCTTATTTTGTCATTATTGTTGGGTTTTTTTCCTACTTTTCTTGTCTCTTGATTTTGTTTTGTATGTTTTTTCTGTATATATAGCCCAGGATAGGAAAATCATAGATTAAGTAACTCGATTAATAATTCCCTAAGGACAATGGCAGGGAAAGCTGAAGGGAAACGGGGAGCAATCAATGAGTCCAAGAAAGAAGAAAATGCTCTAAAACGGCTTGTCGTCGTGCTTGCACAACTCACTTTAATATGACCGAACTATTGAATTACATGGATGTGAATTCTAAGCCAAGTGAACACATCAATAAATTAATTTTTTAAAACACAGGCAACAACCGCAATAGTATATGCCTGGTTTTGTCTTCAAGCTAAAACTCGTACCGCGGCTTGTGCCTGCATTTCTAACTGTGTAAAAATGACATCCCTTCGCATCTCTGACTGTGTAAAAATGACATCCCTTACCAGAGCATCTCAGAAGTTTCAAAAAGTAAGTTAGCATTAAAAGTTTGTCTTGAACAGATATGGACGTATGTAAACTAGGTCCATGAAAAAAAAGGTTTTTTTGTTCTAATTATATAGATTCTTTAATTCAAAATACAATAATATATTTTGGCTGGAACATTGCACAAAAACTTCATAGGCCGTCATTTTGGCATCATGTTGCTGATAGTTTCTCCCAGTGTGGGTCACACACCCCTAATGACACCTCTGATCAGCATAGCTATTTGATTTCAATTGATTTCAAATTGAGTTCAATTTCATTCAAGTCTTAAAATACCTTTGTCAGGAGTTTTTGACCTGATGAACAAATTCTAGGCCATTCAGGGGAATTCTAAAATATCTACTACTTTAATCCAATTTTCATAGCCATTTATGACCAAAATGAACATACAAACATATGTCTTGTCAAGGTATAGTGATAATTTAATTCACTTTATTTAAAATATGTCTAATAAAATCCTAATATCTAATTATGCATGGCTCATTAAAATACCAAAAGTATTACCTTTTTAATCATATAAATAATGATGAAAATTAAAATGATTGTGTGATATAGAAATATCTAGCTATGTTAAATTAATTTTCATTGTTTTACATGGGTAATGTAGTATTATTTTCTGACCTCTCCACTCTCTACTTTGTCAGCTACTGATTTGTGAAAGGTATTTATGGATTCCTCAGAGACTAAGAAGGTTTTAAATTAAGGGTTCCGGGAACCCAAGAGGCAAGCGAATTTTGGGAATGATGAGGGCAACAAATGTATAGATGTGCTTTACACAATTGATCTATGTATTGTGATGAATTGTATGAGCCCCAATAAATTGATTAAAAAAATTAAGGGTTAATGTCTAATCCCAAGTTTTTTTAATGATAACAATTTCTGTAAATTTAAGAAATAGACTACTGCACCAATTGTACAGTCCACAGTATGACTCAATGTCAGGGAGTAGCATTATGTGAAGTAAATGGTCAGCTCTGGATATGCTTGGTGAAAAAAACAAAACAAAAACAACCCAAAACTCAGTTTAAACTATATTAACTACCATGATTCTGCTCTTCCTCTGTTAAATTCCATATATTGGCGCAGAATACCAAATTAATAAAATGACTATCCTATTGAACCAATACCCTAAAACCAGGATGTTAGTATAGTACCTCATTACAAAGCAGCTAAGTTAAAAAGCTCTCATACACATTGAGATTATCTCTAGAATTCATCAAGAATAATGTCCAAAAAAAAGTTCAAATTTCTATTCTGTTTACTTTTCAGGGAAAGGAAAGGAAAAAAAAACATTTATAAATTGTCACTGCCCAAGTGTCTGGAGAGCATTGTTGCTCTGAATCAACTCGGTTGTCAGAGTTGCTCTACTAGATAGCCTGCCTTCTAGTTCTTAGCTCCTTGGGTTATAAATTATTTTAGCGATGACATATTCATTTTCCTTAATAACTGTGCTTGACACATGCTTTAGTTTCACTCTTCTTCAATCATAACATTTTATAGCTGAGAAAGATTTTTTTTTATAGATGAGATAACCCAAACAGATTAAGCCATTTTCCCCACTGGTTAGTAGACCTGGCACTGTTCTCCGCCCTTACGCCAGACACTGCTTCCTCTCAACTTTACTGATGTACGCCCTATGCTTCCCCGATTGGATGAATGAAATGAAAGCATGTGACCACCTACCCACACACCTTGGCAGAGGTGCACTCCACACACGACGGCCCCCGCCCAGGCAGGTAAGCTTGGTTGCACCTTCTAGGCGATATCCTGGAAAGCAGGAAAAAGTCAGAGTGTCGCCAACGCCAAACTGAAAACCAATCCTTCTGCTGAAGGCAGGGACACCGGGATCATCACAGGGCTCTAAGTCGTATTCTGAGAAATGGAGAGAGAGAACATTTGTGGAACTAGGCAACAATAATTCAGGAAATATAAAAACTGCTACCATTGAAAAAGTAAATCAGGATATGTTCTTTTTTCAAACCCTGTTTACACCTGTTATGCAGATTCTTTCACTTTGTAGGATTTTTTCCCTCATGATACGTAGCATGGGATTGCAGTATTTTAAACATACACATATCAGAATTGAAGACAGAAAAACCAAAACCTCTATTTCAAAACGGTTCTGCTGAGAGTAGGAAAGTCTACTGTTCACATTTCTAATCGTTAGTCAGTTCTTGTGTTCTTCTCAAATGTACCGCCCGATCGCCAATATATGAAGCACAAAATATAAACTATGTCAAAGGATTACACAGCAGGAATGTTGACCTACCCAATTTGACCTCTAAATCTGACCTCTATATGACTCCACACTTTTTGCTACCTATTTTCAATACACCATGTTTGATAGCAATGAATTTTGAAATTCCTGTAAATTATTAGAAATCTTATCAGATTTATCATGAAAATACATGAAATCCTAGGGAAAATATAACAGCTAACTTTCTCCTGTATTTTGGAATTCAGTATCTAAATACCCTGATTAATGCCTATATTCTGTATTTGCATTATGCTTAACAGTCAATTACCTCAAAGTTCAAAAACTAGACCACATGGAGAAAACACCATCATGATTGGAGGATGGCTTATTAACAACATATGATACACAGATGATTAAACACTGCTTAATCAAAACCATGAGGACTCAAAACAATGATGATCAGAGAATGCAGTTTTCAAAAGAGATTCTCCATGGAGAGAAAATAAAAATCTTCACAACAACCAACAGACAACTTCATAATAATGGAGAAAAAATTGGTGTTTTCAAGAATATATATTTTTGGGTCGAAAATCAATGTCCATCGAAACGACAATCATAAAATACAGTAGCATTGCACTGAGCAAATCTGGTACATAAAACCTGTTTAAAGTTTTAAAGAGTAAAACTATCAATTTATTACTAGGGTTCTCCTGACCCAAGCTATGAGCCTGTTTTCAAATTAGTCATAAGCATATAAAGCGTGGATATTAAATAAAGAAATCATGGAATTAATGAATTGATGCCATTGAATCATGGTTTTGGTGAAGAGTATGGAAAGTAACATGCACTGCCAACACAAACAATTCTGCCTCAGAATAACTATAGTCAGAATGCACCTTCTGAAGCACAGACAGTGCGACTTCATCTCATGCACATGCTATCTGGAGAGATCAGTTCCTGAAAAAAACATCATACTTTATAAAGCAGAGGCTCAGTGATAGGGGTAAGACCTTCAACAAGTTTCATTAACCCACTAGCTGTAATATTGAGCTTGAATACGGTAAGTACTGTGAGGATGGCACAGGGCCAGATTGTGTTCTGTTCTGTTACTGAGGGTCACGGTGAGCCAGATTCGACTAGATAGTACCGGATAACAACAATGATGATTGAACAATGAAAATTATACAATAGTATCATTTGTGATTGACTGATTAGTTAAAGAGAGAGGAATAGAAAAGAAGATTGAAAACCATATAATTTCGTACATATAAACAGTGCTTTGGAGTTACAAAATTCCTTCAAAAAATCATGGTTGCTGAATCGATTATTTAATAGAGTATAATTATCCTGTATGGTTTCTAAGGCTGCAATGCTTATGGAAGCAGACTCTTATCTTCCTTCCACAGAGCAGCTGATGGACATGAACGGCCAACCCTTAGGTTAGTAGCATTTGTGTTAATTCAAAGCAAATAAGCCTTCAAGAAATAGAAGCGAAGTAGGAGTTGGTAAATGAAGTATAGAATTGGAGTATCAATTATATAGTGTTAATGATTACTTTGAGGTTACAACTAGTTGCAATTGATTCAATTGGTAGCAAATTGTCAGGCTTGTCTTCCATGAGTTCTCTAGGTGGGTTTGAACTAGCACTGCAAACCAGCTCTAAATGACTTAGTTATAACTAACCTAACATAATGCATAGCAACCACATCTTTTGCATATGGGATTTTGGTTTGAATAGGAAATGAGTTGCTTGTTCAATGATGGTAGCAGACTGTTCCGCTCAGTTTCCTACTGGTCTCAAATTTTACATGGAGGAGATTTGGTTCTGTGATGGGTAGGTTTAGGTTGCAGTTTAATTGGAAGGTAAAGAGCTAAATGGCTCAATGAGCCTCACCTTTCCATCTCTTGCTCTCTGATGATTGGACCAGTGTGCAGTTGCCTTAGCTAGTTCTCTGCCTCAACTTGTGAGCTACGCTACCTGTGGGACACCCAACCCATTGACTGTGTTGCTATAGTTTGAGGTTCCTTTGAAACCTGCTTCACCACACTGCTAGTGTATTCATCTCCTGAGCTGGGGATTGTCGGACCCTATAATCTGACTGACTTTTGGTGACCTGCCCTGTTGTTTGCTGCCTGTGGCTGGACTGCCTGTATGGCTCTACAGAAGACTCAGCTGTCTGCTTCCTTGACTTGCATTCAGCAGCCCTCATGAGTTGACAGACTGCCAGTATATTAAATATCTTGTGGAAGTGAGTTGAACTGAGCCTTATGTACTGCTCTGTGGAACTAATTAGCTGTTTATTTCATCACGTCGTATATATCTATTCATATATATATAAAATCATAAATGTCCTGGTTTTGGCTCTCTAGAGGACCCTGTCTAACAGCTATGCCCTATTAGACATGATTAAACCCTTCTGAACCTATTCAAACTCCTGGTTTGAACCATGGACCTTTTGGCTAGTAACCAGGCGCTTAGTAATTCTCACACCAAGGGAGTTTTCAGTGACCACTAACTGAAATAAAATATAGAATACTGAATGCTTGAAGTTTTATCTAATTATATTTGAATATGGAACTTTTTCTTTTTTGTCAATATTACCATTTACCTCTGCAGGAATATTAACTAGGAACTGCAGCTGGAAAAATCTACTTCACTAAAACCTTCTTAAAAAGATTTAGATAAAGTGGACTAACAGAAAGGGAATATAAAAGTATATTAATTCCATTTTATAAAAACACCAGGAAAGTCCCCAGAAGGGTAAATACTTAATTTGCATAATAAAGTCGCTATTTATTTGGACACTTAAAAAGAGAACCACATTGTACTAATGCCACAGGCAATCATACACATTAGAAGAGTCACTGAATGTACAGGCCCATAAAAAATCCCTCCAAATGAAATGATTCCTTTAGTATATCTAAAGAATATGGTAATTTAAAATTGACTTTGAAATCAAAGGTGAGCTATTTTGTTTCTTAAAAAGATCCTTTGTCCTCAGGTGTGATACAAACTAGACATAAGTGATTTCTCCTGCACGTTTCGTGTATCATTTTATTTAAGTGGTAGGCAAATGAACTGTTCTACATGCTCAGGCTGTTACTGCTGTAGTTATGACAGTCAAAAGTATTGGAAAAAATGGTCCCAAAGAGCAACTATGACCTAGAAAAGTAAGCTTTATTTCTGTTGTTGTTTTCCTGCCTGTTTGTTTAGGGAGTTTATAAAAAGAGAAAATCAGTTTTAGAGTTGGATACTGACTTTGGTAATCAAAGGCTTATTGTTAGCTCTGTGCTGAGAACAATAGAATCAAGAGCCAGATGGGGCCAAGCCAATCAAACATGGGTCATGAGAAACAGCCATGGAGGAGGTGTGTGGACTTGTGTCACTAATATTTTCTTTCTTTCTTTCTTTTTTAAGTATTCTTTTTAAATTCACTTTGATTATGATGAAAATAAATTGGAAAGGGACCGATATTATGGTACTTGATAATAACTGATATTTACCAGGAAATAATTATAGCATAAGAGGGATTTAGGTATTAGGATAAAGAAATCTTAATTCTTTGATATGGAAAGTGGGCATTTTCATGATTGCTACTGGTTAAAGTAAAAGTTCCTAGAAACCGAGTAGTTTGAGGGGGCTCTGAAAGATCTATGCATGAAATTCTAAGACAAATCAACCAAAGCAGATTAGAATAAATAGCAATTTGTCATACTTATGGGTGGTTTCAAGCTCTGTAAGCAGACATCAAAAATAGCAGAACGCTCTGCCGAAGGGGTGAAGCAGTGGTGCAACAATGGGGTCAAACAACAATTGAGAAGATGGCACAGGAAGGGGCAGTGTTTCAACCTGTGGACCTAGGGTTGCAGCGAGTGGACACCTAACAACAAAAGAGTATTTCAAAGCATCTTAAAATCCCCAAGATTTCTTTTTCTGTAACAAAGCATTTCATTTTATATATTTATTAATGATCATGGAATACATAGTAAGGGGTCACTGAAATCCTCTTCTTTGGTTGTATTTGGATATGTACATGATGGAGTCCTGCTGGTTCTGCAGGTCAGGCATTAGGTAAAGGGGGTGGTTCAAACTCAACAGCACTTCTGCAGGTGAAGCGTGAGATTGCCTGCCCCTATCAAGGTTGACAATGTCAGGACCTCTCTATTCGCTTAGTATAGGCTGGAATTCACTGTTGGCAGTGGGGATTTTGGTTTATGTATAAGATGGGAGTCCCTGGGTAGTGCAAATATTAACATACCCTGGATGCTAAGTGAAAGCTTGGGGGTTTGAGTTCACCCAGAATTCCTTTTGGAGAAAGCCCTGGTGATCTGCTTCCAAAAAATCAGTGCTTGAAAGTTGACAGCACAACACTGAAGGCACACCTGACGGCACTTCCTGCAGCACTGTTCCCAACAGACAGAAGTTGGGAGCAACCCAAATGCCCACCAGTAGTGGCATCAGTCAGTCAGTCAGTCAGTCAGTCAGTCAGTCAGTCAGTCAGTCAGTCAGTCAGTCAGTAAATAAATGAATACTGGCATGAAAAGAAATGAAAGATGGATACAGGTCACAATCTGGTTGAACCTTGAAAATATTGCTAGGTGGAAAAAGTCCTTAACAAAAAGTGAAGCCTTGTGTTATCTCAAAAGCATAAAGAGCCACGCAACACTGTGGTTGCTGCAGGTGGGAGGCGAGGGAAAAGAAGCCAGTCTTTGGTTAGCTAATACCAAGTTTCTTCGTATAGGGGGTGGAAAATATGGATGTCGACAATAGATAAGGATGGTGGTTGTACAACATAATAGATATAATATTTTTAATTAATTATACAAGTAAAAATTTTGACTTAACAATTATTATGCTGCCTATATTTTAGTAACAGTAACAATAATAAAACTTTGGACCACAATTTTACTTTGACATCCATCAGGTCCCCATAAGTTGGATTTAAGTCGTAGGTAACTGGTCAACTGGCAATGTCTAAAAATCAAGGAGAGTGAAGCAAGCAATGTGAAGGGGGACCAAAAAAAAAATCTGTTAGAAGTTTAATTTTAGCTGAGTCGCTAAGACTAGAATATTGTAACATGGAATCTTATCAGGGAAATAGAAATCTATTAAGAATATGATGTGCTTGAAAGTAGACAAAACATGTTATGATTATGGAATTGGGGACCATGTCTTAAAATCTGTACAAAAACTGGATTATAGAAGATAAGGTGGAAAAACATACTTTTTCAAAGTATCATATAGACAAATTCAAATTAATGTAATTGTGTAAGTCTATTAGTAACAAGCAATAATGTCCATTGTGTGGGCAGGGGGTATATCAGAGATATTTCAGGGGTCCTACAAATGAACATCATATGCTTATTATTTTTATATTTTATTAATAAGCTTCTATGAACAATTTTTAAGTATATGTAACCATTTTCTCATCTGTAAAATGAAGATAACATGTACACCAAACTGCTGGGCCACCAGGGCTCCTTATTACATCATCCGAAACTCAAAGTCACTGCCAAGTCGATTCCACATCACAGAAACCCTATCAGACATAGGAAACCTGTGGGTCTCTCAGACTACCTTTTCATGGAAGCAGAAAGCTTCCTATTCCTCGGGTGCCATGACTGGTGGTTTCCAATAATGGCATTGTGATGAGCAGCACAAGGTGTAAGCCACTGTGAGACCAGGGCACCTCCATGCACATCGTATTAAAATAAAAAATTTGAAGCCATACACATAATAAAGATTATCTATGATTCATAGTGCAAATAATGCTTAATTTTTTAGCTTATATCAGCTAATAATTCTGAATTTCCCCCCACAGTATTTAGAATTAGTTGATAGTTTACCTTTATTTATACACACACACACACAAACACACAGTGGAGCAATGGTATTATTATTTTCAATGGACGGAAATAGCACAGGAGATCAACGTACCTGAAAATGTGATGTTGAAGCCCTCATAGGAAATTGAAAAATCTGATATAAACCGAAGCTGGGCTGTGAAGTTTCCAAACAAACCTGCCTTAATAGTATGGGGCAAGACGGAGCCCGTGAGTCTGGCAACAGGCTCGGTAAAACTTCCATCCTCTGTGATCAGTAGGTAGTCGTGAGAACTCTCAAGGTGGAAAGTGTGAAAGATCATCTGAACTCCTGAGAAAAAGAGAGAAGAGATTCTTAAAAATCTATATAAATGTATGTGTGTATATATAGATGTATGTGTACATTTTCAGGGGATTTTAACATTCTGGTCCCCTTAGTTATAACCCTTGGCAGAAAGATAGTGAGTACTATATGTTGAGTTATTCTATTGAATAAACAGACTTCAACAATACACTGGGAAAAAATAGAAAAACACATTTAAATGTTTATGCCAAACACTCATCAAACCAGGGTAATCTTGTAGAAGTAATGCAAATTTAACGGGCTCATTATTTGTCTATCCCATAACTTTATGCTATGCACTTAAACCAAGGCTGAACCTCTTCTGTTAGTATTCTCTAATCAGGTTTTGTGGGGGGCAAGGTATAATTATTAGCTATATGCCAACAGTCCAGGGGGCATTGTTTATTTCACACTTTATTTGGTCTCATTCATTTAAATTATAGTCAACAGATACTGGTAATAATTTCTTCTGGCTTGTGGACATTAAAATATTTTGTTGGGATATTAAAAAATATGTAAACAAACATTGAGGTTTGAAAGGGAAACAGTCAAAGGGTAGGGGAAAAAAAGATGCTTTCAAAAGGCAAGAAGGAAAGTGGTATATGGTAAAAGTAAATATTCATAAATATTTAAGTGCTTCCTCATAGATCTACAACTTGGTAGAACATTCACAATGAATGATATTCATGAATGGTCACTATGCGATCAGGGAGTACACTTGTCCCAATTTACACCAAACAAGTATCCTTCAGAAAATGTAGATGTGGAGGTTGTGGCAATACATAATTCATGTCAGCTTGATAAATAATTGTGGGGGTGGAATATAGCCTGTTAATAAGGTCACAGCCTGACAATGCCTCCTTGTGGGCGTGGCCTTCTCATGAGGATTCTGGGAACTTCCTCTGTTTGTCCCTGGAGGGAGGCCACACACTCTCTCTGCTTCACCTTCCTGTTGAGAAGCCATGTGGAGCCTAGCTGAGACCTGAAGGAAGCATGCAATGGAGACCTGTGCCATCCCTCTGGTGCTTCCACCGCTGCCATTTGATCCACAAGACTTTTAACTCACTGACCCCTGATCTTCCTGTATTCTGTATCATTGCATGTGTCTGCATGAGTCTGAAGAGTGATTTTTGGGTTAGTATCAGATTTATGGGCTAATATCAGACTTATGGACTTGATCTGGACTGGGATGGGATGTTTCCTTGATGTATAATTACTCTTTGATATAAAGCTCTTTCTTATACATATATGAGTGTCTCTGAATTTGTTTCTCTAGTCAATCCAGCCTTACACAGAGGCCTAGTGTACACAATTATACCATTGAGGTAAAACTCCCTGGAAATGAAAGTTTTATTTGCTCTATGTGTACTTCATATGTATATCTACATGTTACCTAGACCCACAAATTATTTTATCTTAATTTCTGTAGTGAAATTGAGTAAAATTCACTTTGAATAGGTACAATTGAATGACAGTTTAGAGTTTTCTACTCGCAAAGTGTACTTCAGTCATCATGCTATATCAACTTTATTATTAATATCCTCAGGACTCAGTTCTTTAATATGCATATATAATAGCATACTGTAACAGAATTATATAATGGATTTTTTCAATTAAATTTCTAGTTGAATTATCTGAAATTCAGAATTGTCTGGAAAGACAAAGTCTATATGATATTTATGTGATCAAAATACAAAATGATCTTCTTAAAAATTACAAACTTAACCATAGAAAACCCGGTATTCACTCTTAAATGAAATGTTCATAAGCAACATTTCTTTCATAAATACAAATTTATGAAGTCCTTAATATACTTATATGTTTAATATAGGTAATAATACATATTTTATAAAAGATCTCTAGAATATGTGAAGAGAAATGATGTATATATTATATTGATAATATTGTAAACTTAAACACAAGATAAATTAAAAATATGTTCATGATTTTCCTAGAATGTATGTTTTTCTTATTTCTTTTACTTTTCTATAAGTCACTTTATGTCTAATAGTCCATTTCTTAAACATCATATGTATTTTTAAATTCATATGCAGACATTTTATTTATCTGAAAAGAGATAAAAGCAAGTGATCTATGTTTGCTATGCAACAGCAATTTAAACTGTTTTTCCTTGTTTAAGGCTAAACAAGCCCAACAATAAACAACTGCAATATACATATAGTGAAAGTGCACCTTACCACTTTACAGAATAATACTTTTAAAGTTCTGACACGCATTGATCCTGCTTAATAGTTTGCGTACTTGAAATCCATATTATATTCTTACCCTTGCCATGAGACACTTCAATGGTCCATGTACAGTTTAGAGAGTTCGGATAAAAGTCTGGAAACCCAGGCGAAAGGACTGTTCCACTCTTTCCATGAACGTAGCCTCCACACAAGGCTGAAAGCCACCAGGAAAGATTATTGTACAATTATATGTTCTAGTGATCACTAGCATAAAGTAAGGGTAAATGACAATTTGTACAAGAAATAAAAAAAGATCGACTATCATAACCACAAAGAACAAAACCTAATTTTAGTTTTAATTATATGTTAGGTAATATACAGGTATTTTAAATAGTAGAAATGCTTAGCAAGGAAAGCATAGCATGCAAACCCAAACCTGAGTTAACACAATGCAGATCTGCAGCAAAGATGTAGATGTATTTTTACTAGCGATTTCAAAATTGTCTAAGAATCTCATTTCTGAAGAAAGAAAGGAAAACCTATAATCCTATGAACAGGAATGTAATGACACAGAGTTCATCAAAATAATATTGAGTTTTAATGTTCAGATTCAGATATCATAAAATTATGAGTTCAAATGTTGAATCTGCCACTTTGTAGTTTTGTGATATTGGCTAGTTACTTGCCTTGTCTTGATTGTTATGTTTTTATAATTACTAGAAATTAGAGTGATTATTTCTACTTTATAGGGGAGGCATCTACAATAAGTCCAATTGCAGCACACAATTTGCCATGTCTGAGCCTTGGTGGCAGTACTAAGTGCTGTGTTGATAATGGCAAGATCAGTGGTTCAAATTCATGAGACACTCTGCCAGAGAACTATATGGCAGTCTGCTTTTCTGAAGCTTACAGCCTTGGAAACTCGACAGGGGTCTACTTTGTCCAATAGGGTCACTCTGAGTCAGAATCTAGGTGACAACACACAACAACTGCAATATGTATACACTATGCAGCCCTTGAATGGGGATAATGACTACGGTGCTCAGCTGCTAACACATGGCTGGAAGTTCATGTCCACATACTGGCACCTGAGAAGAAAGTCATGATGATCTAAGAAAGGTTTGTAAACGCACCCTATTGAGAATAGCTTTATCTTAACACCATGGGGCTGTCACGAATCAAAAGAAGGATGAGGGCAACTAGCTGCAATCTATGCTAAACACTGAAACCTATCTGTATATACTCGAGTATAAGCCTACCTGACTATCAGCCAAGGCACCAAGTTTACCACAAAATCTGCATTAAAAATGTGCTGAAAAACTCGGCTTACACACAAGTATATACAGTATCTATTATTCAAAGGTACACTAATTTTAAGATACCAAAATATAATAATTTGAATAAATCTCATGTTGTTACAGTTTTGTACATACCAAAGGGAGAAGATTCACATGTATATCTCTGTTTCCCACATTTTCTTTCCCACATATAAAATCTATAAAACTTTTTAAAAACAATGAAAAATTATCCATTAGGTGGGGATTTCACATTGTATATCATCATATTTGTATTCAACAGTATAAGCTACTTATAAATCCCCAAAACAGTGTCTCACATAACCCCTACTTTGATTTCTCTTCTCCCTTTGGTGGATCACTTTCTTCCCCTTCACCCAAGTTAATACTTGTCCCCTCTGGCCTACTACTTCATCCTCACCCCTTTGCCCTCCCGGTCTTGGTAACTTCCAAAGTCTGTTCCCTTTGGTATGAAAGTCTTTTTCTCTTTTGATTTTTCCTTCTTCTTAACAGTGGTCTCATTCAACACTTGTCCTATGTGACTGATTAATTTCACTCAGCATTATGTTCTACAGGTTGATCATGTCATGAGGTGCTTCATGGTTTATCATTGTTTTTATTGAGGCCTCATCTTGCATTATTAGTGTGGACCTAAAGGTAAATCCCAGCACTATAAAGATTATAAGTGAGGAAATAGGGGCAAACTTAAGAGCTTTATTGCAAAGCATTGGCACACACTATGAAATATAATCATGGAAACATGCATCGGACGGCAGATGACTGGGTCGTAGTAAACATAAGGCATTTATGCACATCAAAAGACTTCATCAAAAGAGTACAAAGATAATTCACAGAGTAGGAAAAAATATTGGCAATGACACATGGACAAAGAGCTGATCTCTACAATCTCTAGAAAATTGCAATACCTCAATAATAAAATTACCAATCAACCAAAGATGACATCCAAATGGCTAACAAGCATATGAAGAAAGACTCATGCCCCCTGTCACTGGCATGTCCAAATCAAAGCTATGATCAGATATCTAATCTTCCACTAACAATCACAGCAAAGTAAATAAGCAAACAGAAAACAAAAAATACTGGAAAGAGTATGAGGGACCTTCAGACACAGCTGGTAGAACTCTAACTATGTACAACTTCTGTGGAAATCAATATGGGCTACCTCAACCAACTGGAAATATAAATCCCATACAACCCAGAAATCCTTCTACTGGGCCTACAGTCTAAAGTAGTTATGGTTTTAGACTGACTAGACTTATGCACACCCATGTTCACTACAGCAATATTCATAATCACAAGAGTATGGAAACAACAAAATGCCCATGAGTAGCTGAATGGCTAAAGAAATTTTGGTACATACACACAATAGACTACTATGCATCCTTAAAAAAATCAAACAAACAAACAAAAACAGTGGTATGTTTCTACAAAGATTTCATCTATGGAAATTATGGGGCAGGGGAACTATTGTCTCTGAGTTGGAAGCAACTCAATAGCAATGGTAGTTGCTGGCGGGGAGGGGTGGTTAGATATCCATGTAGAACTATAATGTATGCCATTTTGCATACAAGTGTGCTTGCTGCAGTGGAGGAGAATGGAAGTCCCAATGTCACAGTGTCATAGATGCCTATATGATCCATTATACAAACAAGCATGTTTGTCCTTTCCCAGGAACCAATCTCGCTTAATAACATGTCCAAATTATTTGCAACAAAGTCTGATTATCTATGCTTCTATGAAGCATTCTGGCTGAACTTCTTCCAAATCAGATTTGTTTTATTCTTCTGGTCCTCCCTTTAAATATTTTTGACATAATTCAAATGCAACAATTCTTTTGTGCTCTTCCATATTCATTATTGCCCTTTTGCATGCATCTGAGGCCATTGAGAATCCCATAGCTTGGGTGAAATGCACCTTTAACATCAAAGCACCATCCTTCCTCTTCAACAATTTAATGAGATTTTATGCAGTAGATTTGCCCAATGGATACTTCTTTTTATTTCTTGAGAGCTATTTTCACAAACATTTTGAGTCCCCAATAAAATCTTTAACAACTTCAATTTTTCGCCATTACATCATGGTATTTTCTATTGTTCCAACTGCGAGGATTTTGAGTTTCTTTACTTTGTGTTGTAATCCATACTAGAGGCTGTAGTCCTTGATCTTTCCTGGCAAGTGCTTTAACTCCTCATCACTTTCAGCAAGCACGGTTGTGCCATTTCCATATCACCAACTGTTATAAGCCTTTTTTCAATCCTAATGCAGATTTCTTCTTCATATTTCAAGCATCTTTGATGATTTTCTCAATGGAGCAAATATCGTGTAAAGATACATTTCTGATGCATGCCTTTATTGATTTTAAATCACACAGCACTCTCTTGTTCTGTTTCAATGACTGTTTCTTGATTCATGTACAGGTTACACAAAAGCACAATAAAGTATCCTGGAATTGTCATCCATTTCAATGCTATCCATAGTTTGTTATGATCCACAGAGTCAAATGGCTCTCCATAGTCAATACAAGTAAATAGCAGTCAGGTTTCAGCCAGACCCGTACAGCATCAGCAACATCCTTTTCTGAATCCAGGTTGCATTTCTGACAACTCCCTGTTGATGGACTGTTGTTGAACAATCTTTAAGAAAAATTTACTTGCGTGCCATATTAATGATACTGTTTGATGATTTCTGCATTGTGTTGGCTACCCTTTCCATGGAAATAGTATAAATATGGGTCTCTTTCAGTTGCTGGAATAGGTGACTGTTTTCCAAATTTCTTGTGAAATACAAGTAAGTGCTTCTAGTGTTTCACCAACTTATTGAAACATCTCAATTGTTATTCTGCCAATTCCTGGAGACATTTTTTTCCAATGTAGCTTGTATGTTTTTCATCAGTTTCATTAGTTTTCAATATGTCAAATATGTATTTGAGATTTTCTTGGAATCCATGTGGGAGATCTTTAACATAGTACTTTTACTCTTATAGACTTATTTTAATTTTCTTCAACTTCATCCTGATCACACATATGAGCTATTGATGGTTCCATGGTTGGCCCTTGGCTTCAATATAGCTGCTAATATTGACATCTTCCCACGAATGTTCATAGTAACCATTAATATCATTGAAAAATAAAACAAATTATTTTCAATGAAAAAGGATTTGGCCTTGCAAAATTCTATCATGCCATCTTCAGCTTCATTCCTATCACCAAGGCTATAATTTCCAACTACTGAACTTTTCTCTTTGCTGTTGACATTCTCATTCCAATCACCAATACTTATCAATCAATCCATCTTAAATGCATCACTTGAAGATGGAAGGAGTAGAATTCTTCAATTTCTTAATCAGCAGGTTTAATAATTGGTGGGTAAACTTCAATAGAAGATTATCAACTGGACGTCCTTGAAGGCATATAGATATTATCTATCATCGACAGTGTTAACTTCAAGATAGATCTTGAAATGGTCTTCTTTTTTATTTTCCTTCAAACCATTTTATTTGGAGTTAATATAGATACCATATCATTCCATAGTTAAATCATATCAAGCATTATTGTACAATTTCTATCACTATTAGTTGGAAACATTCTTTTCCTTCATGAACTCCTTGACATCAGCTCCCCTTTACCTCACCCATCCCACCACCATTGTACCCACCAGGCACTCTTATTCCACTTATTGTCTCTATCGACTCATCATCAATATTGGGTTTCATATACTGATAAAACAGAATAACATACAACAAAATTCAAGAGGGTGACTCCCAACTCATCTGAGATAAACCCCAATAAGAACCAAAAACAAAAACAAAAATATAAAGTGTATGGTGGAAACCAGATCAAACCTAACGTGCATCATAAGGAGGGATCAACTGAAAAGATTTTAGCTGTCCAAGTCAGGTTTATCCCTTTGATCTTCTATACTCAGCTCTCAATGCACCCTGTTTAGTAACCACTTTCCTCCCATCCCTCTGTTATGGATAGAGGGAAATCACTGGGGGCTGATTTCCTATGCAGATTCCACAAATGTATCTTGGGTTCCCATTGTCATGCAAGCCTTTTGCAAAATGGATTCACACAATTTAGGCTCTGATACTATTCCTCCCTTCAACTTCAGATGACATGATTTACAAGCTTTTGTTGATAGAAGTTAGCATGCTTCTTTCATGTGGACTTAATTGACATCTCACTTAGATTGCTTCTTGTTCAGAAACAAACTCTTAAGACCCTAGATGCTATTTTATCTGATAGCCGGGCACCATCTAATTTCTTCACCACATTTTGCTATAGCACTCTTATCGTCTGTGTTCTCTTCTTGAGGGTGAGTTTCGAGCAGGCCCATGATATAAGAACTAATTGTTCTTAAGTTGGAGCTAGGATTTTGTGTGAGCCACAAACCCATTCCTGGACCTATGTTTGTTTCAATCTGCCTTTGGCTCCTTTTCAAAATCTCCTCATTAATTTATGGCAGAGTATTTCAATCATCCCCCTGGGGCATAACACTCTTCCATTAATAGTCTCTTTGATTAGCCTCTGGTACTAATTTTTTAAAGCCCTAATGAGTGAGAGATATTGGGCCAATGTAGGCTGACTGCATATCATATAACCTGAATTATTCATTGTACAGAATCAGCCCTTGATGCTGCATGCTAGGCCAACCGCCTTAAAGTTCCTTTCCTGACCTAGTCATCCACGTGATTGATCAAAATTCCGAACACTTGTCTATTTCACTAATACCTGGTATAGGAATTCCATGTGGTTTGTGATTCCATTTTCCCACATTCATAATGAGCATGTTCCACTGTCCTGTCATTAGTGGGCACTTGCAGTTTCTTCTCCCGTCGAGTTGTGCCCCATCAGCAAATGAATATCTCACAAGTTTTACTTGACTCTGATTGATTCTATGCTGAGGAGGCATCATGTTTTGATGCCCTGTCACATTGTGAGTGCCTTGCAGCCTGAGGAGCTCGTCTGCAGGCCGTCTATCTGGCAAGATTCCCCTTCTTTTTAAAGGGTTTCAGTCGTTTATCCTTCACCTGTGGACTGCCTGTTCCATCTTTCAGCCCTTTGTCAGACCAGGTCTCACTGCTCTTCATAAGCTTTTCAGTAAGTGATCTTTCAAGTGGAAAGCTTGCTCCTTGTTCCTAGTCTGGAATCTCCTTAGAAGCCCTGAGAACTCGGGTGACCCCGATGGCATTTGAAACCCTGGAGACATAGCTCCCAGCCTCATATCATAGCAAAATGCAAGTCACTGTGGTTCAACAGACAGACAGACAAATGGTAGTGTTTCTCATAGCACTGCCTTGTTTTAAATCCTGTACTCTCTCCTCAACATTATTTTTAAAGGTGCATCTCAAAGGCTGCTGCCCCAAATTTTGAAGATTCTGAATTGTCATCTGTTTCATTTATTTATTCTCAATCACATTGCTGTATCTAAAAGCATCATGTGTTCTTTATAAATAAGCCCATCCTACTACTAGTAAAGTGCAAGCCTTTTAATGACGTGGTTGTAAATACAGTTGGTTTTTCTTTCTTTTCTCTTTTCTTTTTAATCATTTTATTGGGGCTCATACAACTCATCACAATCCACACATACATCAATTGTGTAAAGCACACTTATACATTCATTGTCCTCATCATTCTCAAAACTTGCTTTCCGCTTGGGTTCCTGGAATCAGCTCCTCATTTTCCTCTTCCCCCTCCCCCTTCCTCCCTGCTCCCCACTCCCTCATGAACCCTTAATAATTTATAAATTAATATTTTATCTTAACTTACACTGCCCAGCGTGGCGTCTCCCTTCACCCACCCTTTTGTTGCCCACCCCCCAGGGAGGAGGTTATATGTAGATCCTTGTGATCTGTTCCCCCTTTCTATCCCCCCTTCCCTCCCAGTATCCCCACTCTCACCCCTGTTCCTGAGGGGTTCATCTGTCCTGGATTCCCTGTGTTTCCTGTTCCCATCTGCACCACTGTGCATCCTCTGGTCTAACCAGGTTTGTAAAGTAGAATTGGGATCATGATAGTTTGGGGGAGGAAGCGTTTAAGAACTAGAGGAAGGTTGTGCGTTTCATATATGTGTGTGGAAAAATTGGAGTTTACAAATAAAGTTAATTTATTAAAAAATTCTGAAGCTTTTCTTGCATGTATACATTCCATAAAAATAAAAGGAGGATAATTTCCCAATACCAATCTTGTTAATTTTCAAAATATAAAGATGCTGAAGCAGAAAGATCAGCAATCATTTGAAGCAATGCAATGTGAATGTGAAATATACTGATGTCGTTTCTCTCTCCTTATTGTGATCTAGTATGTTCTAACTGGTTATCAGTTTATTCTTTTTAAAAGCTATGACATTTTAAAGGGTTATCAAGTGTTTATTGTAATAAAATATAATAGGCTTAAGATTGAAAAGGAAAACAAGAATTACACTATTTAAATCAATAGTTTCAGCTATGTCTGCTTAATATTCCTTCACCAAACACTAAGGTCATATCTTCCTTAATTCCTATTGACTAAAACCAAAAACAAACCCACTCACATTAAGTCAATACTGATTTATAGTTAGCCTATCTGATATTTCTGGGACTGCCAATCTTATGGAAGCAGACCGCCTTGTTTCTCCTGTGGAGTGACACGTGTGTTTGACTGTTCATAAAAGGCTAAAAACCAAGGTGGTAATATTATTGTGTGTAAAAGTATGTATCTGTATATATAATATATGATAAGTATATGGACACAAGACATACATATATATAAACTCGATATATGTTTAAGATTAAACATTATGGAATTGTATGTCAGGAAATAGGGGGGGGGTCATAAATCTGGTCATGCTGGTGACCTAAAGTAATTCTAGTGAGTTTTTGGTGGAGGTCAACTGCAAGTTTGTCTTGTGAAAAGAGAATGATTCAGCCCCCACCAGAAGAATAAATATGTATGTATCTGGTAGAGCGAAGAAGACATTAAGACCATGGAAAGATCATCCCAGGTTGCTGGATGGATGTAAAAATAATTTTGTTCAGATCCTGAAATATTTTTTTAAAAGAGTTACCAATGTTAAGTCAAGCATTTATGGAGGATATTTTAATTTGGATATACATTTTGAGAGGAACCCGATTCAAAACCACAATTATCAACAAAAGTTTTTTTTCTTCCCCCAAGGAAAAGGAATGAATACAGTGAGAGAACAGGATTTTAACTTATATTAATGAAAAAAAAAATCCTTCATTTCATCTATAGAGCAACTAAGGGGTCATTTCACATATGTGTTTTAAAAAACAAGAACAACAAGAACAACAACAAAAAAAATAAGCCATGTACCTGGCAGTTCTGCCCCAATACATAAGATCCATCTAAATGGCACTTCTACTGACAGGAAACTCATTTCCCAATTGCATCGTTTATTGCTTTGAATCCAGCATTCTGCCGCAATTGCTTATGTGAATTTTTAAAACTTCCTCAACCTTCAGCCCCTCTGTGCTGCCCACCTATATTTTTAAGTACATATATCAAATATCACTTGTTTGTTTGAAGATGAAATTCAAAGGTTTTGAGTGGTCTGCAGAAAAGCATAATCATTCCACTAAAAACACATACATCCTCTTATTTTGAGTACACATTTTTAAAAAGTCAAGGTTTTCATGAAAGTATCATGTTACAAAAACAAAAGCTAAAGTGTTAAAAATTGAGGGAAAAGTGACAATAATTTTTTCTTTGTCCAAATATTAATGTTGTACTTTGATAATGTTCTTTCTCAAAAGCCTAATTTTTATGGAAATTATGATAAATAACCCATTTACTTAATATATTTATGACTCTCTACTATATTACCATCATATGTGTCAATCAAAACCATTATTATGTATTTCAGATTTCCAAGAGCAAATTTGTTCAGGTCAAGTAAAACTTAGAGAAATTTTTTGAGGTTTGGGCCTGAGCCAAAGGACAACCAGATCTCACAACCTAGATTACCTATATTCTAAATATGAGAATATTCAAGTGAATAAGTATATATTGTCAGTACTGCTATTTTGCAGCCTGATATGAATAAATTCCATAAGGGAAAACATGAATCACTAAGCTCAATTAAGTTTGAGTATTTGAGATGTAAAGTTGAAAGAAAGATTAACTGTAATTTCATGTTATTTTCAAACACCTTCTACCTAAAAGAAGCAGACCTCATTTTTAGGGTAAACTTCACGTGTGAATAGCAACAATTAAGGTATAACGATTTTTTGGCACACTTTACTCATGTTCTACCACATCACTAAATTAAACTATTCAAAGATTTGTATTTTCTCTGCATTTCTATTTGATTTTGTATTTCATTGAGGGCGACCTACCATCACAGCTGGGTAACGCGTGGTTCCACTGATGGCTCCTCTCACAGACAAGGGGCTCATCATCGCTTAATGTATACCCTGGATCACAGCTGAACGTCACTGTAGCTCCAATGCCAAAGTGATTGCCTTGCCGATGACCATTCACAGGGATTCCCGGATCAAGGCACGAATCTGACTCTAACGTTACGCCTAAATGCATAATAAAAAGAAGTTATGAATAAAAATGGCAGAAACGTAGGGTTAAATATTGGAAAAGGTATAGACATTACATTAATGGATTTGCAAAATCATTTGCCTAACATTCCAGATCGCCTGATACCTGAAAACATTTTGCATATATATAATGATATTCATATTTTTTACCATCATTGTTAATTGGCTTTGCGTTGTCTTTGATTTATGGTGAGTTTACATATAACATAAGAAAACATGATCTGATTTAGAAACATCCTCACAATCTTTAGTAAATGTTTGGATTCATTGTACTTTTTTGTCAGTCCATTCCATTGAGAATCTCTCTTTGTTTACTGAATTTTAAGGGAACATAGTGTTCATTTCTAACGATGAGTCTTTCCAGATGACAGATGGGCAAATCACGCTTGATGAAGTTCACTATCAGTGTTTCTGTGGAGCACAGTGGCTATATGTTCTCAAAGACTGATGTATTCATTCTTCTGCCAGTCTATCACATAGGCCTTATTCTTCATCAACACAATTGGAATGTGTCCATTTTTTCCTGCGTTCCTTATTCGATGTCCACTTCTCATCTGCACACGAAGTGATTGAAAAGATCATGGTGTGGATCAGGTACATCTTAGTGACATTTTTGCTTTTAAAGAGGTCCTTGGCAGTTTTTTTATTCAATACAATGTGTTTAATTTTGTGATTGCTGCTTCCTTGCGTGTTGAGCGATGACCCAAGTAGAATGAAATCCTTGAAATTCATTTTCTTTGACTTTTATTCTGTTTTCCTTTGTCTCAGATATGAGTTTTTCTTTTTTAACATTCAGATACACTTTTCAGATATAGGAATAATTAGTTGACCCCTTTGAATCTTACATTACTTATTTGAACACTAATGAACTATGGTAAGTAAAATCAAAGTTTCTTTAGGTTTTATATTTCACCTTTTCCCCTCTTCCTCTTTTTTATATACTGTATTTCAGTTAGCTGTTGTCAGTCATCTTCAACATTCATATATATGCAAAAATATACCCCGCCAAATGTATATGTAATGAGATTGGCATCTGCACTAGAGTCGCTTCTTCTAAAACTGGTCCATGTCTTCATATTTTCCCTCCCCTAAAATTTGCACTTAAGTCAGCTGCTTTTGAGATAGCTACAATTAGCCTATGCTGAAAATGTGAGAAAAAATAAAATGCTATATAAAGTCAAGTGATTATGTCATTATAAGATTGTCATGCTTTTCTCTCTATTTTTAGAATAATGTGAGAATTTAAATAGAGGAGAAAATGAGAGTAAGAGTAGAGAGTTTCATTGCAAAGTGTATGTCTGACGAAGGAGAAAACAAAGAACAAACACGGCAGTTACTTCACAGCACACTCAGGGAACTTTAGTGCGTGTCCATTCAGATCTAAGCTATGAACGAACACTTTTAAATATCACCCATATTTACACTATTTAGCTCTCAAAATTGATCTTGGAATGCCAATTTTGAGTTATTATATACATTTCACCAACGTTTGAGTGACATAAACTATGAATATACCTTCCCTCATTAAGCAATATACATAAAATCACTTAGGAATGATTATTTGTTTTAATAAACAATAAGACAATTAGTGTAATTAGAAATTATAACCAACATATGTAGAACAGCCAAACTGATATATAGGGAGAAAATATTACAGTAAAATGGTTAGATTAAACAAACAGAAAAAAAACATAGAGGGGAAAAGACAACAGAAAAAATGTTTCTCTAAAAGCTTTCTCTTAAATACAACTTTCCTCTAGTTCCTAAATGTTTCCTCCCCACTCCCACTACCATGACTCGAATTGGATCTTGCAAGTCTGGCTAGACCAGAGGAGGTACACTGGTACAGATAGGAACTGAAAATACAGGGAATCCAGGACGGATGACCCCTATAGGACCAGTGGTGTGAGTGGCAAAACAGGGAGGGTAAAGGGAGAATGGGTAGGAAAGAGGGAACCGATTACATGGAACTGTGTGTGGCCTCCTCCCTGGGGGACAGACAACCGAAAAGTGGATGAAGGGAGACGTCGGACAGGGCAAGCTATGACAAAATACCCATTTATAAACTATCAAGGGCTCATGAGGGAGGGGGGGAGCGGGGAGGGAGGGGAAAAATGAGGACCTAATGTGGGGGGTTTAAGTGGAGAGAAAATGTTTTGAGAAACGATGTACAAATGCGCTTTACACAATTGATGTGTGTATGGATAAAAAAAAGAGTTGTATGAACCCCTAATAAAATGATTAAAAAACAAACAAACAAACAACTACTTTCAACAACTACCTAAAACTTGACACATGTCTAGAAATCAGAAATGCCTGAGCAATATGCTGTTTTCACGTTTTAGAAGACAGAGTAGCAATGTGAATTACCGCTTCCGTCTCTGTATACAAGGTCTGAGTTCCATGGTGCTTACAAGTTGGGCTCCTAACAACCTCAAGGTCAAGAGTAAAGTCCAGTTAAACCACGGGAGCAGTTCTGCCCTGTCCTGTAGGGGCGCTGTGAGTCACCATCGACTTGATGGCAAGCTCTCTACATTCACATAGAAATGAGGTAGGCACCTTTGTCTTGAATACATATATATTAATGACCCTAATTCTTTCAGAGTCTCTCTCTCTCTCTCACACACACACACCCGTACACAATATACACATATATACCACCTAAGGCAGTGGCTCGCAACCTTCCTAATGCCACGAACCTTTCATACAATTCCTCATATTGTGGTGACCCCCCAACCATAAAATTATCTCCCCTGCTACTTCATCAATGTACTTTTGCTACTGTTATGAATTGGGCGATCCCTGTGAAAGGGTCGTTCGACCCCCAATGGAGTCGTGACCCACAGGGTGAACACCACTGAGTCCTAAGGCATTTTTTTAGGTGACCTACAATAGCATCTCAGAGACTGAACTTTTGCAGTATCTAGTACTCCCTAGCAAACCCTCATGGCTAATGGTGTCTGCAGCACCCTGATCAAGACAAGAACTCCCTCAGCCAATGGACTTGACTTAAGAAGTTCTGATAAAGAAAGCTACAAATTAGTCCCTCATTTTGTGGAAACACCAGTTAATTTGAATGTTCTACATGTAGAATGGTTTCTGTCATTCGTAAATAACAAGATGCTCGCTGCACTCTAAAGTCAATCACAGTAATACAACTTATTATTTTAGAAGATATTAATGTACGCATATATAATAATTCTAATGGCTTTTCTAAATCATAGTGAAACTGAGTCCATACAAAAGAAAAAGAAAAGAAACCAAAATACATCAATTAATATTTTAAAATTCTGTTCTTGAAAATAAAAATAAATATGCAAACCTAAACAAGGTTAATTAGGTAGAACGGAAACCATAATAGTAGGGGGAGGAAATATTTAAAAACTAGAGGATCGTTAAGTGGTTCATCGATGCTCTAATGCATCCTGGATTTGTAATCCATCTCTTCTGTGTGGCCCTTCTGAGAGTAACTGTCCAGTTATCTCACAGGTGGGTTTGGGGTCTCCACTACATCCACATTCCTTCACATCGATTTGGTTGCTTATTTTTGATTTTCTGCTATCTATATCCATGGTCACATTATGATCACACAGGCTGGGGTGCTTCTTCTATATGTGCTTTGCTGATTCCCTGATAAATGGCCACTTGTTTAACTACAAGCCTGTAAGTAATTTTTATATGCAAGGTCTTAGGGTAGTCCCATGTTATAACCCATGGAAAAATTTAAAATACAGAATAAAGAACTCATTTTACAAATGAGGAAACAGGTCAAGAAATTAAGACAATTATGTCAAAGTAATTACTCCGGTTCCACTCCAATTCCTGGTCTCGTCTTCTGCCTCTCTTTCTTCACTCTAATCTCTCTCTTTCCCTGAATGTATTCAACAGTACTGCAATCACTGCTATTCTATCTGAACCACTGTATCTTTCTGATCATAAGAAACCACATTGGATCTCACAAAGCTTTACATGCACACACATCATAAAAACGCATTCTGTCCCTACCATAGTTTTTATTAAAAATAACACAATGTATGGCCACATAGTAGAATGATAAATGCAGTAAATATTTGTTCTTAAAGTATTGTTTACAAGACGTTTTTGTAAGCATTTCTGATAAATGCTTGAAAATCACACAGAAAACCTTCATCCACTTGAGATTTTAATCTCTTTTGCAATTATCTAGAAAAACAGCTATTTTTAGGTGGTGATTTAAAGAACAACAAACAAAGCAAGTGATCACTCTGGAGGGACAATGCAATTACTATTCTATAAAGAAACTCTCCCACAATCCTTGTACAGAAGAGAAAAAGAAAAGGGTAAACTGTAATTGAATGCTATATTTATGATCGTAATGATTCACAAGATTTAGCACACAAAACAGAACTACAATCTAGGTCTGCTTTGTAAAGTCCTTGAAAAAAGATGGCTTCAAGCCTTCTGCCAAACAATTCAGAACAAGCCTCTAAAGCTAATGCTGTTAATATTAGTTCATATTACTTTACGGAACCACTACACAAGTAGATCAACCTTGAGTCCCCTCTGACAGCTGTTTCTGCAGAGCTGTGTCTATACAGTACATTTCCATGTGCCTATTTGAGTACGAAAGGTTGTAACTAATAATTTTATAAAGCAAAAGCTTACAACATCAACCATTTATGCCAGAAGATGAACGACAAATGATCAATATTCCTTTTTTTTAGATGGCAGGAAGACTTTACTATAAATCTTTTGTAGGCAACCCTGTTTTTTAAAACTGCATTGGCTACACATGTATGACGATTGTCGACTGCCTGAATATTGATTTCACAGCATATTTCCTCAAAGGGAACTAGAAATATTCACAGTCATGCTGGGACGGGCAGTGTTTGCATTTTCTCTTCCATGCTTTCCCCCGTTTCCCTTTTTCCTCTGCATTTCTCCGTCCTTCATTTTAATAAGCATATACGTATAAAACAATGTATAATACAAAATTATCATATCATTTCCTCTCCCATTACAGCTGCCTTCCCTGGGCTCCCCTTAGCTCCCCACAGACTACAGGTCACTAACCTCCTGTAACCCTGCCATGTTCTTTGTGCTCTTGTGAGACGTGGTGTCGATGGGAAATTCAGGTGCATGGCAGGTGTCTCTCCTCCACTTCATTACAGATCACTGGAGGAGTTCACTCCACATCCAGGCTTCTGGCTTTCACCATCGACATAACAAATAAGAGTATCTCCACTGCAGATTTCAGAGTTTTCATTTTACGAAGTTTCTCTGATGAGTGGGAATGTCCATGAAACTTTGAGGAAAAGTGCCCTTTCAGCATGCTTTTTAAATAGGGGTGACCATCTGAATCATTACAGAGCTCTATAAAATCACTTATGTCTGGATACCACCCACGGACAGAGAGACTTAGAACATCTGAGCTGGCATGCATCTGTTTTCTTTAGAGTCCCACAGGTAACACTTATGTGCACCAGCTGAGAACCTCTGCTTAAACCCCCAGATATTCCTGACTCGTTTCTTATAAAAATGTTGTATCCTGTCTCAGTTACCTCTTCTCATTCCCACCTTTCTCTTTAAGAACATATTGATCTATACCGAAACAGATAACAAATGCTCAGTGTGATGCCCTTATCACCCAATTAAAAAAATTTAATGTACTATAATGATTTAAACCAGAAGATCACATAGAAATGATTTGGGATGACATTTCACAAAGATCATTTGGAACTTGATAAAATAAAATCTGGATAATATGTTTACCTCACTATCTCTTTTAATCCGCTCCACTCCCCCCACTTCAGCTGTGGGTAAATGAATAGGACACTCTATAAAACAAACTGAATATGAATTTAAAAATCAACTTACTCTCTTTCTCGAACTTTCAAGAAAGAATGAATAAACTCAACTTCTTTATTTAAGTAAGTTAGATGAGCAAATGAAACTAGTTGGCAATAGCTATATATTGGGCTTAGAACACACATCTCCTGACTCATTGCCATAAGTCGATGCCAACACATGGAGACACTGCATGTCAGGGAAGAAGCCCCTGTGGGTTTCTGAGACTGTAACTCTTTATGGGAGTTTCAAGTCTCCTCTTTCTCCCAAGGAGCAGCTGGTGGTTTCCAATGGTTGACCTTGCAGCTAGCAGCTGAAGGCCGAACTATTACACCACCAGGGTTCCCGCAAAGGACATTAGAAACAGGTAAAATATGACTAAAAAAGATGAGAGAGAAACAAACTGACAAAATGGAAGAAGAAAGAACCCTATTCTATTATTTACAAGTGCTTGAAATGACTTTTTCTCGTATGTTTCATGTAAATGTAACTGCTTAACTAAAGGCCAGGTAATCCTTGCTAAAAGTGGATGGGAATATAAAACATTTACTGTTCAATACTTAGGAGTTTTAAAAATTAAGATGAATTTAATATTCACATGTATTTTACTTGAAAAGAAAGTGGTGAGGAAAAATATGAAAAGATGGAAGTATAAAATTTTCTGGTTAACTCTTCACTTTTAAAAAATAATGTCATTAGATATACATGTATATTATAAAATATAAACAATAATTTAAAATGGAATTTGATATCAATGTTTGTGATTAATTTTTTTTGCTATTAAGAACATATTGTTAACATTTGTAGTTTTGGAAATATTTTAAGTCTTGAGGCAAAAGTTCATTTAAAGGCTTTGGGACAAGAGTTGGGGCAGAGCTTAGTAAAGTGGAAGCTCAGTGGGCAAAAAGATGGTCAAAGGCCTGGATTGGTACATAAGCTTCCACCTGGTGCTCAACGTAACGGTGATTGAGAAATGGCACCGGGCCCAGCAGTGCTACACTCTGTTATACATACAGGGTCACCATGAGTCAAGACTGACTCGACAGCACCTGGCAAGAGAATGATCCCTCCTATTTCATTCTAATCTGAGAGTAGAGCGATTGGTAAATAAATGCATTCCCAAGAAGAACCCCCTTCTACGTTCGAGATGTATACTTTTATAAGTATTGTTAGAAAATAATGTTGTGACTTGAATTCATAAGGTCAGAAGCTAAATGCAAGAACCAAATTTGGATTTCTGGAAACAAAAATGGAAACGAATGCTTAAAGTTGTAGCGTTCTTACAAAATATATTCCACTATAATCTTTTAACAATTGTTCTTAAATATGCTTAACAGTAGCTTTTGAATATTTTTTAAACAACTGTCAAAATATTTTCAATCGTTATTTGGCATATGGCAAGAGCTTGCTTAGTTTTAATTCCTTTTCTTCTCTTAGTTACACATGTTTTCTAGCCAATGGTGGACTAACAAATCACTATCACAAATTATCCTAAGCATGTTTTTATAGGAAACACTTCTCTGCCTGTTGCGTAGAATAATATTGAGTTGATCTTGACTCCGAGTGACCCTCTGGGAGTGAGCAGAAAGGCTCCTTTAGGTTTCCCAGGCTTTGAACCTTCATGGAAGAAGTATCATCTTGTTCTGGGAGTTAGCCATCCAACACTAAACCCATGGTACTCCCAGGCTCTTTAATCATTCTTTAGAATGCATGATTTAATAATATGTCTTATTATCCTTTGGCAAACAAGCACATGTTCTAATAACATCAATATTTCTTATCATCTCTTGCAAATATACTGATGCATTTAAAATCTTATTTGTTTTACTTTGTAATTTCCAACTAGCATTCATATAAAGTCAGACTTTCCAAGTTGCACTCTTCTTAAAGATAAAAAGGCCCCGTGATTGTGGAAGACAGTTTAAACCAGGTTAGAAGGGTGCTAGGTGTTGGCCAGTTGGTTCTCACTCAAAGCAGGTTCCAACTCGAAGTCGTCCGCTGCGAAACAGCACCCAGTCCCCACCACGCTGACAACACTGACCCTGCTAGGTCCTGCTGCAGTCACTGTGCCCTTCCACGAGAATCTCTCTCTCTCTCTTTGTCCCCTATTTTGCAAGGATGGTGGCCTTCTCCTGGGATTCCTTGATCGCTCCTGGTAACGGTGCCGAGAACGTGTGGCAAGCCTCCTGTTGCTTGCACCTTTTTCTTCACGGGTCAGTTTTGCTTTTTAACTTTTCACGGAGAGCTTTTGCAGTAAATTTGTCCAAGGCAGAAAGTTTCTTGATATTGCTTCCAAGGGCACTGCTTGTGGACCCATGGACAAAGAAGTTCTTGACTTCAATATGTTCTCCCTTTATCATGAACTTGATTACCACTTGTGACCATTTGCTGTTGTTGCTGTTACAGGGTAATTATCCTGAAGGTGGTAGTCTTTGATCTTCATCAGGGATTACTTCAAGTCTTCAAACTTTCAGCGGGTGTGTCATCTGCATATAGCAGATTATTGATGAAATTTCTTCTAATCGTCATGCCTTACTCTTCTTCCTATTGCAGAGTTTCTCATGTTATTTGCTCAGCATACGGACTGACTAAGCATGGTCAAAGGATACAACTCGGATCGTCTTGCCTGATTTTTAGTCATGTCGTATCCCCTCATTCTGTTAGAATAACTACTTCTTCTAGATAGTTTACACGTGAGCTCATTTAAGTGGTCCGGAATTCTATTAATTTGAAAATTTATCCATAATCTGTTATGCTTCACACTATTAAATGCCTTTAAGTAGCCAATATCTTTGAATACACAGGTAGTCATCTTTCTGACATTCATCAACCAATATCCATCTGGCGTCTGTAATGACATCCTTTGCTCTACAATACCCTGAATCTGGTTTAAATTTCTGGTAAGTTTCTATTTGTGTACTGCAGCAAACATTTTTTACATAACCTTAAGCAAAAATGCACTTTCTTGTGATATTAATGATAAGGTAAAATGCAGTCTCCCGTGATCGTCAAGAAGTGCTTCAAGTCTTTTCACTTTCCGCGAGCAAGACTGCGGCGTCTGCTTATTGCAGGTTGTAAATGAATTTCACAAGATTTCCAATGAACATATATGCATATATTTGAAAGTTTAAAGTAAGAATTTTCAAGGTACTCTCTGAGTAATAAGGGAAAGCTATTACCATTATATAGTATAGTTTTGGCAAAATCAGATACAATTGTGAACTAGCTACTATGGGTATGCTTAAAAACACATACGCATATCTCCAATTCAAACATATGTATTGCCTTACTTTCATAGTGAATGAGGAATCCCACACTGGAGCGGCTGTTGTCTGTGGTGAACAGGAGGTACATGAAATTCCCTGTGCTGATGAGGAACTGCGGTGCTTGAGTGCCGTGGTACTCTCCAATCAGCGGGGATGAATTTGCCGGCCCATCTCGGACTTCTAGTGTGTCGTAATTGACTTCAGTCTGAAATCTGCAAATATGTATATTGATTCAGAAGAGACATTTAAAATTACGTTAGTTTATAAGTATCTTTATATCTTTATGGATTAGTTAACACTATTGTATATGAATAAAAGGTTGTAATCTATATATATTTTAAATGATAGAATATATACTGAAATATAGTACATTTTCTGAACTGATAAACAACATCATGAGAAAGGTAGGAAATATTGAATTTTTTAATGATTTTATTTTACTTCAGCAATCACTATTGATACACATAAAAGCAGCAGTCAAGAAATCAAGTGGCATATTGCATTGGGAAATTTTGTTGTAGACAATCTCCTTAAACTATTAAAAATCCAGATATAACTTTGAGCACTCAAGTGTATATGACTCAGAAAATGGCATTTTCAGTCTCCACGTGTACAAGGGAAAAATGGACAATGAATAAGGAAAACTGTAGAAGAATTGGTGCCTTTGATTTAGTGTGTTGCCAAGGAAGATTGACTATCCCATGGACTGTCAGAAGTATCCATTTGCCTTAGGCAATGTAGCCAGAATGGCCCTTAAAAGTGAGGATGGCATGCCTTTGTCTCACATGTCTGGACACGTTGTCAGGAGAGATGTCATGTTTGGTAAAGTAGATGTCAACCAAAGAGGCAGACCCTCAACGAGGATTACTGCCACCCTGGCGGCCACCACGAACTCAAACACAGCGGCCACCACGAACTCAAACACAGCGAAGACTGGAGGAACGGCATGACTAGACAGTGTTGCTGCTGCTGCACAGGGCATGGCTACGAGTCAGAAAGGACTCGAAAACACTTCACAACACCTTCTCTAAACACCCCCTTTCCTCCTGAGATGCTGCCTTGGACAGCACAAGCACAACATTGACCAAAAAATCAGCTGGAAAATACACATATGTGAAAAATATCAGTTTTCAAAATCAAAGACATAAACCAAAAGTTTAAAAATGAGAATGTATCGATCATTTTGCATTTTCACACTATTGTCCATGCTTCCTATTGAACATGCTCAAGGGCATTTTAAAAGGGGCATACTGAAGTACAATGGTCTCTTCAAGGGGGAGGGTCATTCAGAATACTTGACAATATTTTTAACATCCTTCGTAACATAATTTATCATGTACCGTTTTAAGTTGCATTAACTCCTTGAAGACACTAGACTGGTATTTACCATATTGCTACTTCAGAAACTAAATGATACTTTAGTGATTTCAAAAAGAACAGCTTTAAAAATGTGCTTAACTTTTCTTCCAAGAAGGACTTTATGCTTCCAGAGAATCTGGCTCAAGATTATTTTTATATAAAGTTGCAGCCCCTTGGGAACCCTTTATGCAATGAAGGTACCATTTGAGGCACTGGGATAATTTTCTAAATGGGCCCATCTAGTCCTCAAAGAGCTAACCCGGTTTCCAAGTGTCTGACTGTACTCTGGGAACAGCTTATCCATTGTAAGCTTGTGACTCACTCAGTAACTTTGAGCCAAAGAACTTCATTGAAGCCTAGACCACTGTCCCCCATGCTTTGCTTTGAATATTGCTGATGACAATGCAGATAACTTGAGAGTGAGATCTCCCTTACTCTGTTTCCTAGCAGATGGCAACAAAAAGGATGCTCAAACCAATTGTCTTTTTTACCCTTTTAAATTGTGTACATTTTTCTTAGCATAAAAGCATAATAATCATATATATTTGCACCTAATTAGGTTAGTACTTTAATCTTCATTGTTTCATAGAAGAAGGGAAACCATTTGTGTGGCACCGAGTTAGTGCACTTTGCAGAGGAAGCACCATCCTTGACTATTCTGCTTATAAAAAATGCTCTAATTTCTGTTTACTGAGTTCAAATGCACAAAGACTGGATACACAAGAACTAAATTGTATTTTATGTATGTGCACCCAAATTAGTCTCTCTGTTCTCTTTAGGAATAGGTAGGACTGGTATAATGTACACAACAACAACAACAACAACAAGATTTCCAGTATGAATTCAGAAACAAAAATTTCAATGCTTTTCACTATCTGGCAGCCAACTACACACTATATAATAGTGTTGACAGTATGGAATTTTTAAATTGTATGTAGGAACACATACTTTATTAGAATGTCAATGTGTAAACTAATACGGCATAATTTTAGAGGAAAATAAGGAATGTTTGAAAACATCAGATATATTAGCTATGTGTGAATGGAATTTAATAAAATATCACAGTGCATAGTTATTGAAAAGAAAAGCTTTGGGAAATTTTAATGAATAGCTTTGTTCAGGCAAGTGTTGAAAAGTTGTATAAAATTAATTTGTAAAAACATCATTTTTATTAAATGATTTCAATTTGTTGTGCTGTTGGTAACCAGAGCATGCTTGTCCTCCCATTCCAGCATACCCTAAAATATGAAGCATACATAAATTAAAATTGAATTTGTTGAACAATTATATAATTACATTTTTAATATTGGTGATGAGTATATATAGAAACTCACTCTTTGGTAAAATAGATAAAGTTAAAGTGGTCTTTTCTTCTGGGGATTATCCTATTAGAGATGATCATTATCTTATCCAAAATACATAATGATTGTAAGGATCTACATAGAACCTCCTCTCTGGGGGTGGACAACAGAAAAGTGGGTGAAGGGAGACATCGGACAGTGTAAGATATGACAAAATAATAATGATTTATAAATTATCAAGGGCTCATAAGGGAGGGGTAGTGAGGAGGGAGTGGGGAAACTGAGGAGCTGATACCAAGGGCTTGAGTGGAGAGCAAATATTTTGAGAATGATGAAGGCAATGGATATACAAATGTGTTCGACACAATGGAAGTATGTATGGATTGTGATAAGAGTTGTATGAGCCCCCAATAAAATGATTTTTTTAAAAAAGATGCAGACTTGGAAAGCCACTGGAGCAGTTCTAACCTGTCCTACAGATTTGCTAGAGTCAGAACTGGCTCAGTGGCAGTAAGCTTGGAGTCTGGTACCTGGGCAAACACATTCATTAAATTAAAAATCTACGGGAGTACAAACAAGAAAAGAAAGAAAATGATATAGCTATGTTTAATATCTTGAAAAAATATAATATTCAGAATATTAAAATAAAACTTGATGTAGTCAAGAGAGTTAATATTAGAGAATATTCAATCATATTTAGAGTTTAGGCTTTACATATTCAAGAAGGATGATTACTTTGATAATAAAGTATATTATAATATTTAAAATATTTTTAGTTTTCAGTTGTCTTTTGATTTCAATGCTGAGACAAGTGGGAAAAATTTATCAAGCAAAATTCAGAAGGTTTTTGTAGATGATCAAATATCACATAAACCTGTGCCTCATTTATTGACTCTTTTATCTGGCATTTTGCATTCATGAAAATAGTAAAAACCTTACTATCCAACTATTTGGAGAATTAACAACATACATCTGGTAGTACAAAAATGCCATGGTGCATGGTAAGAAAAATACTGGTTGTGAAGTAGGGTTATGTGTCAACCTGACTGGGCCTAGATTCTCAGTGTTTTTGCAACTATCCAATAATGTAATTTTGTGGTTGTGTAATGAGGTATAATGGATGTTATGTGATGTGTAGTCATCCATTCTGTGATTTGATGTGGTCATCTTCCATTTTCACATAACACCAAGTTCTGTTCTTTGGGACCTTACTGTGCTAATGAATAAGGAGCGGTTGTATTAAAATTTCAGTTAGAGTGTTGTTCATATATTCTTAAAAACACTAAATGAGAAATAATTAATAATAAATGGGTTGCACCCACTCTGTTGCCAGCTCTATGGTTTAAAATTCCTCTCAAGTTACCATCATCCTGACCCAACATGTAGAGGTATTCTGCTGTGCTGCTTCCAAAGGGTCACAAGGCACTATATGTAACCCAAAGAGCTTTCATGTGCAAGAAAGAGCGAACATAATTTGTTACATCTGCAGGTTATGAATCCAGAGTTTGATATTGTGAGTCAGATACTGTGATCTCTGGGAAATTGTCCTCAGGGACCAAGACTCCTCTCTACATTCTGCAGAATTGTTCTGACAATCATTCCCAGGGGGGTGCAGGGTTGAGGGATTTAACTGTTGAGTTAGAGGAAGAAAATTCAGAAGGAACAAAAATAATCAAATAAAGGCCTAATTCAATTAAAGTGAATTCCTTTTGGGGAACCAATAAAGATATGTGACATTTCTAAGGACTAAGATATGTTTAATAAAAGGATTGAGTATTAATGATTCCTAGGTTCATATTAAGAAAGAAAAATATTCTGTTACCTGTCAAAAGTTATTTTTATGGAGTGTCCTGGTTTTGCTTCAATTATCCATTCGCAATTTAAAGAATCTTTATAATATCCTGGCCATCCAGGAGGCAAAATGACTCCACTTGAAGCTGTCAAATGCCCACCACATGGTGCTAAGAAAGAAAATATTGAGAAAGTCATGGTATTAATTAGGTCAAATTAAACATATGACCATAAATCATAAACTTCAATGGAAACAGAGATTTATTTTGATATGATGTATTCAAATTATGAAGCAAAACTTATTCCAAAGTAAGCTTTAAACTCACTGAATACAGCTCTATATATTCTATCTGGAAATTTATGCATAATGCCACCAAGCAAAATTATTTTCATCTAAAAGACATGATACAATTGCTGTGTGCTATACACTTAATGCCACCACTTCTCTGTCAGTTTGTCTTACTGCACTGTGGTGGCTTGTGTGTTACAGTGATGCTGAGAGCTATGTCATGGGTAGTTCAAATACCAGCAGGGTCACCCAAAGTGAACAGGTTTCCCAGAGCTTCTAGTCTAAGAACAAACTACATAGAAGAAACAGGCTTTCCACCTAGGAAATATTAGTTACTGAAAAACTTATGAATCACACTGAAACGCTGTCATAGATAGTGCCACAAGTTGAGCCACTCAAATAGGAATTCGCTAAAAGTATGATTGAGGAAGAGTCACTTCCTCCAAGCAGAGTTGGCCATGGAGATATGGTTGCAGTAAAGCTTTCAAGACCTTGATTTGTTGATAGGGCCTTGCTCAAAATGAGAAGAAACAGGTTCAAACATCCATGAATTGGAACTTGGAATGTCCAAAGTCTGAATTTCAGAAAACTAGACATCATCAAAATGAAATGGAATGCTTAAAAATCAACATCCTAGACGTTCGTGAGTTGACATGGACTGGTATTAGCCACTCTGAATCAGAAAATCCTATGATTTACTATGCGTGTAGATAAGACAGTCAAGAAGAATGGCATGGCACTCTTTTTCGATGAGGACATTGCAAAATCAATCTTGAAACATAATACTGTCTGGGGTAGGATTTTTATCTATCTGCCCTCAAGGAAACCCAGCACATAAAGTTATTAGTCAAATTTATGCACCAACCACTAAAGCTAGTGATGAAGATATAGAATAATTTTACCAATGTCTTCAACTGAAGTTGACCAAACATTCAATCAAACATGTAATGAAGATGTGTTGGCAATTATTGCTGATTGAAATGCAAAAGTTGGAAACAAAAAGAAAGGAATAGCAGATGGAAAATATGGCCTTGTGATAGAAATAAATTTGGAAATCACATGATAGATTTTTACAAGATCAAAGACTTTATGGTAAATATATATGAGTATATTTAGCAACACAAACAATAACTATACTCATGGACATCTCTAAAGGGAATACACAGAAACCAAAATGATTACATCTGTGGGAAGAGATGATCGAGAAGCTCAAAATCAGCAGCTGAAACTAAGTGAAGGATGACTGTGGAAGAAACCATCAATTGCTCATATTTTAGTTCAGGTTGAAGCTGAGAAAAACAAATCCACGAAAGCCAAAATATGACTTCCATTCTATCCTCCCTGAAAGTGGAGAACATCTCAAGAACAGGTGGGGTGCACCGAGCACTCATGACAGAGGGGTGAATGATCTCGGGAATGACATCAAGAACATCCTTTACGAAGACAGAAAAGGACCCCATAGAGGCAGGCAGGAAAGATCAGTGTGTATGTCACAAGGAACTTGCTAATAATTTTAGAGGTGCTAAGGCACCTAGAAGACATGATAATGTCAGAGGGCTGAAGAGAAATTTTTATAGGGCAGCTTGAGAAGAGAAAGGAAAACATCAAAATGAAATGTACAACAATTAGAAAATGAAAAAGAATGCCAATGCATTCAAGTGTGTGGATCATAACAAACTATGGATGACCTTGGGAAGAATGGGAATTCCAGAACACTTCCTTGTGCTACCATAGAAACCCGTACATGGAAGAAGAGGCCATTGTGTGAACAGAACAAGGGAATGGCTTAAATCAGGAGAGGTGTGAGAGCGGGTTACATCTTGTCACCCTACTTATTCAATCTTCATGCTTAGCAAATCATCGGAAAAGCTGGATTATATGAGACAATGTGACCTCAGGATCAGTAGAAGACGTATTAACAACTTGTGAGATGTAGATGACTCAAACTTGCTTGCTGAAAGGGAAGAGGATTGAATCACTTGCTAATGATGATCAAAGATGGGAGAGACCAAGATTCTCAAAACTGGACCCATAGGTTACATCTTGATCAATGTAGAAAAGCCTAATGTTGTCAAGGATTTTTCTTGCTTGGGTCCACAATCAATTCTCATATAAGCAGCACTTAAGAGATCAAGCTACATATTTCATTTGGTAAATCTGCTGCATAAGACATCTTTAAAATGCCGAAAAGCAAGGAGGTTACTTTGAGGACTAAAGTGCGTGTGCCTACCCCAATTCACAGTATTTTCAATTGCCTCACATGCATGCAAACATTGGACAAAAAGAAAGATAAAAAACAGATGCCTTTGAATTCTGGTGATGATGAAGAATATTGAAAGTACTATGGAGTCCCAAAAGAATAAACTAAAATCTCCTGCAAGTAGGGCTCTCAGAATACTCCTGAGAGCAAGGATGATGAGTGTTCACTTCAAGTGCTTTTGGCATGTCGGGAGAGACCAGTCCCTGGAGAAGGACGTCCTGCTTGGTAGAGTAGAGGGGCAGAGAAAAAGGGAAAGACCCTTGACAAGTTGGATTGACACAGTGGCTGCAACAAGGAGCTCAAGCATAAGGATCATCATGAAGATGGCAGAGGACCAGACAGTGTTGACCTCTATGCAGTCCATTTCACTTTGTACAACTTCTAATTCCCCTACATCCATATTTTGTACATTCCTAGTTCTGATTATTACTTGATGCTTGTAGCGGTTTCTCTGTTTTTGAGTAAGCCACACCAAGAAACAAAGGTCCAGAAGACTACCCCCTCCGAGTCATGAAGGCTCACTTTCCTAGGAGAAGGCAGCTCTTCCTTTGCATTGTTTGAATACCTTTTGACCCGAAGTGCTCATCTTCAGGCCCGAACTCTGATAATATTCTGCTTCTGTTCATTAGCACTTCAGTATCTGACAACATTTTGATCCTGTCTCTAAGGTTTTCAGCGGCTAATTCCTCAGAGTAGACACCGTATTCCTTCTTCAAGTCTCTTTTTTAAATGGAAGCTCAACTGAGACCTGTTAATTTTGAGATCCTGCTGCAATTTGAAATAAAGGCTTGAAAGTAAACAAGCAGCCATCTAACCCAGAAGCAACAAAGCCCACATGGAAGCAGCACACCAACATGTGTGATCATGAAGGGCCGAGGGGACCAGGTTTGGACCAAAGGTGGGGGGGCGGCGGGGGGAGGGAAATCATATCATCGTGAATGAGGGGAGTGCATGATGGGGACCCAATGCCCATCTGTAGACAACTGGACACCCCTTGCAGAGGGGTAGTGGGGAGGAGATGAGTCACTCAGGGTTCAGTGTAGCAATAATGAAACTCACAACCTTCCTCTAGTTCTTAAACGCTTCCTCACCCCAACTATCGTGATCCCAATTCTACCTTGCAAACCTGGTTAAACCAGAGGATGCACAGCAGTACAGATGGGAACTGGAAACATAGGGAATCCAGGACAGATGAACCCCTCAGGACCAGCGGTGAGAGTGGCAATACCGGGAGGGAAAGGGGTGAGAGGGTAGAAGGAGGGGAGAAAAGGGGAACCGATCACAAGGATCTACATATAACCTCCTCCATGGGGGATGGGAAACAAAAGTGGGTGAAGGGAAACACCAGGCAGTGTAAGATAAGATAAAATAATAATTTATAAATTATTAAGGGTTCATGAGGGAGTGCGGAACGGGGAGGGAGGGGGAGGGGAAAAAGGAAAATGAGGAACTGATTCCAGGAACCCAAGCGGAAAGCGAATTTTGAGAATGATGAAGGAAACGAATATTTAAGTGTGCTTCACACAATTGATGTATGTATGGATTGTGATAAGAGTTGTATGAGCCCCAATAAAATGATTAAAAAAAAAAAAGAAATACCAGTAACATATAACCAGTAAATACTAGCATCACAGGAACACACAAGTCACCACAGAATGACAAACTGACAAATGAGTGGTGGCCAACCCACGTTAGCAAATTCCAAAATGTGTTCCATTGTTAGTTTTTTGTTTGTCTTTCATTATATCATTTGTCTTTTTTAGTATTTTTCCTATTGTGATTCATAACTTCACTCAGCACCAAGTTGTCCAGGCCCATCCATATCATGAGGCGTTTCATAATTTCATCATTGTTTTTAATGATGCATAAGAGTCCGTTGTGTGTATGTATGTACCAACGTTTCTTTATCCATTTTTCTACTGATGATCACAGGTTGTTTCCATCTTCTTGCTGTGATCAATGTGTGAATATATCTGTTCATTGATGATTCTTCTTTAGTATAGAAACCCAGCAGAGAGATTTCTGCATCACGTTTCTGTCCCGTTTTTGAGTTAGTGACACATTGATTTCCACAGTGGTTGTACATATTTGCTGTCCCACTTGCAGTGTTTGAGAATTCCAGTCTCTCCACAACCCCTCCAACATTTCTTATTTTCTGTTTATTTTTTCCTTCATTATCATTTTCCCTTGTAAGATGGTATCTTATAGCCCTTTCATATCTTCGCTGATGTTTCCATGGGTCTTTAATTGTGGGACTGAGAAAAATGAAGTACTTGATAATTTATGTATTATGGTGTCACTTATTGTCCCAAGTGTAAGAGCTGTTGTTTTCTTCCTGTTGTGGTACAACCCATACTAGATGCTGTAGGCCTTGCTCTTTACCAGTAAGTGTTTCAAATCGACTTCACAGGCTGGTATCATCTGATAGCCAAGTTTGTTAATGAGTTTCCCTCTAATCTTGATGTTATGCTTTTCATACAGGCCAGATTTTCAGATTATTTTCTCAACATACAGATTGAATACACATGGCGGAAGGATGCAAACCTGATGCATAACTTTCCTAATTTGAAACCAGGTACAATCCTCTTGTTTGGTTCGGTGTGAGGGTAATTAGGTATTCTGAAATTTCCATGATTCACAATGTTATCTATAATTTTCTCTTATACATACTACTGAATGTATTTGCATAAGCAATAAGATAAAAGTATATTTCTTTCTTTTATTCTTTGCTCTCAGCTAAAACCCTCCTGACATTATATCTTTCAATCCACAACTCCTCTGAATCCAGCTCGCTGCCAAGGGAGCGCTGTAGTCACTTTTGACTTTCCTACAAGAAAATATTACTTGTGTGACAATAGAATCTTGTTTGACTCAACTGGAAAAGACTCCTGAAGGTCAACAAACAGACCTAGGCTTTTCTTTTTTTGTTTGTCATTGGTTTTTTGGTTGTTGCTGTTTTGTTTTTCTTTTCTTTTGTTGCTTTGTTTTGCTCTGTCTTGTTCTTGTGCATATTATTATCTCTGCAGGTCTAGCTATATAAGATAGGCAGGATAAACAATCTGGAGGAGAAAACAACAGAACTGAGGGTTTTGGGGGGGGTTGTGGGAGGGGGAAGGGGGAGAAAGGATTGGGTGTTAAAAAACCAAGGGACAAGGGAACCACAAGTGATCCAATAATTCGTGGGAAGGAGAGTATATGAGGCCTAGTAGGGATTGATCAAGGGCAATGTAACTGATAGGGATTACTGAAACCCAAATGAAGGCTGAGCATGATAGTGGATAAGAGGAAAGTAAAAGGAAATAGAGGAAAGAACTAGGAGGCAAAGGGCATTTATAGAGGTCAAAATACAGACATGTGCATATTTAAATATATTTATATATGATTGGGAAATAGATCTATGTGCATATCTTTATAGGTTTAGAATTAAGGTAGCAGGTTGACATTGGGCCTCCACTCAAGTCTTCCCTCAGTGCAAGAACACTTTGTTCTATTAAACTGGCATTCCATGATGCTCACCTTCCCGGCATGATTGCTGAAGACAAAGTAGGTAGTTAAGCAAATGTGGTGAAGAAAGCTGATGGTGCCCGGTTATCAAAAGATATAGCATCTGGAATCTTAAAGGCTTGAAGATAAACAAGCATTCATCTAGTTGAGAAGCAACAAAGTCCACATGGAAGAAGCACACCAGCCTGTGTGATCATTAGGTGTCTATAGGATCAGCTATCAGGCATCAAAGAACAAAAAACCATATCATTGTGCATGCGGGGGAGTGAGGAGTGGGGACCCAAAGCCCATCTGTAGGCAACTGGACATCCCCTCACAGAGGGGTTACAGGAAGGAGATGAGCCAGTCAGGGTGCAGTGTAGCAACAATGAAACATACACCTTTCTTCTAGTTCTTTAATGCTTCTCCTCCCCCACCACTACTATCATGATCCAAATTCTACCTTACAAGTCCGACAAGACCAGAGGATGTACCCTGGTACAGATAGGAACTGGAAGCACAGGGAATCCAGGACAGGTGAACCCTTCAGGACCAGTGATGAGAGTGGCAATACCAAGAGGGTGGAGGGAAGGTTGGGGAGAAAGGTGGAACCAATTACAAGGATCTACATATAACCTCCTCCCTGGTGGACAGACAACAAAATACTGGGCGAAGACAGACATTGGACAGTGTAAGATATGACAAAATAATAATAATTTCTAAATTATCAAGGGTTTGTGAGGGAGGGGGTGAGAAGGGAGGGGAAAATGATATCAAGGGCTCAAGTAGAAAGTAAATGTTTTGAGAATGATGATGGCAACAAAAGTACAAATGTGCTTGAAACAAAGGATGGATTGTGATGAGTTGTATGAGCCCACAATAAAATGATTTAAAAAAAGAATATTTTTTGATAATTTCTTTATTTTGTTAATCATCGTTCTTTGGAATGGGTACAGACAGGAAACTCTTCTGATTAGTTGTCCAAGTTGCTATCTTCTACATTTCCTGGCATAAACCAGTGAGTGCCTGTAGCATTGTATCCATTTCCTGAAATATCTCAATTTGCATTATGCCCCTTTATAGAGCTCTGTTTTTATACAATATCTTCATTGAAACTTGAATTTATTCCTTTGGAACCACCATCCACTGGTGGAACACAACAAATTCATTTTGATAGCATGACTTGATTTCTTTCCAGCTTCTTTAGATGCTCGGTGTCTCATTCAACAGGAACCTCCCGTGACTGCGGGTTACGTGCTAGTTTACCCCATACGCTGGAATGATGCAGGAGTCTGTCTCTGCAAAGCATCACAGCCCTAGGAACTCTAAGGAGCAATTCTCTGGGTTAGAGGTGAGGCATTAACGCAAGGTCAGCAATGTGAACCCACCAGCAGCTCTGACGGGAAAGAGGAGGTCTCCTATGTCTGTAACGATGTACTCTCTCCGAAACACACAGGAGTTTTAAGGATATTCAGAGTTAAGTCAGAATCCAGTGAGGATTTTATTCAGTATTTGAATGTGTCATATTTTCTTTAACACATATGTGTTGTTTATTACTTAATCTCTGTTGTTTAAAATTTAATTTTTCCAACCTTTACTGTTACAAAGAGTGTTTCAAATTACACTCTTACACAAAGTCATTTTCATAATTGTCTAAGTGTTTTCTTATAATAATGATTCAGAAATAAATTTTAGGGCTCAAAAGGGAAGAAACAAATTAAGATCACTAATGTAAATATATGCCAAAATGACATTGTTTTATATCCTCAATAGTATGTCCAGTCAATTCTAGTTTATCCACAATTTTCCCTATAAGGTGTAATATTAATCTTAGTAAATACTGCAAATCGAATAGACAAATTATTATTTTATTTTTGCTTTTAACATTATAGTTCTTTGTAACTTACTGAAGATAGATTAAAATATTTTTAATTCATTGTGCCAGGATTATTCTGAGAGGGGAAATTTGTGTAAATAGTCTAGAGATTTTTAAAATGAGTCATAATTAGAAGTAATATCTTTTTTGTTTTATTAAATTCTGTCTGGTCTTATTACACAAATACCCATTAACAAATATTGAAAGATTAAGAAGAAAATTAGGTATTTATGTCACTTCTGATTTGAGTTACAAAACAACTAGCTGAAAGCTATATTTTCTATTCATTTGATTTTTAAGTTAGATGTATCTTTTAAAGAAAAATAAAAAGACACCCACCTTCACATCGGGGCACGGCAGAACTCCAGACAACGTTTCCGTCTTGCAGGATGCAGGTGATGGACTCCGACCCTTGGGTTTTGACGAAGCCATCATCGCAGTGGAAAGAGACCGAGCTGCCAAGGAGAAACCGATCGCCAAAGCGACGGCCATTGATAGGAATGCCAGGATCATGGCACTCATTCTGACCAAATGCTGGAAACGGAGGGTGAAAACAAAATTCAGTAAATGCTTGAGTATGAATTATTGTACTGAAGAAATGAAGGAAATACAAACTAGTTATGCTGTAATTTATGTTCCACATTTAGCTATATGATTAAAAGTTAAATAATTCATTGATTTAATAGGACCAACAATCAACAGAGAAATAATTTGAGAGAAAGACAAAAAGCACAGATACATGTATCATCTAACTATAATCCCTATAGCACTTTGCACTATGAAAATCAATTTTTATATGCATTTTTAAAATGAGAAGGAATATAGTGGGTGACAGAAAGATAATAGATTAAGATATATCTGGGTTGCAACCTTGGCCTATGCTTTTTATATGAACTTGGGAAGATTACATATTTGAATGATCTGAGCCTACTCATCTTTGTTTGCAAATCAAGATATATCAAACATATATCACAGAATTGCTAAAGCCTTCAATGGAGTAATTGCTGGTAAATACTAACCTAAGTGTTGCACAGTTGTAAGCAATCAATAAATGACAAGTTAGTATAATTTATATTAACATATAATATATACAAAGTACAATATTCTAAAAATGTGTTCTTTTCAGGTTATATGAATGATGTTATATATTTTTTCCTGCTCTTACTTTTATGATTATAAAATATGTGAAGTATCAGTCTTAAAATTCAGCATATATACTTAGAATTAAATGGGATTATGAAAATGGTGTTTGCATACGAGTACTCACTTGTGTACGTTATGTTGAACCCCCTGCCGGTAGTAGAGTGATCAGACTGAAATTCCAAGCGTGCTATGTGTCCACTGCTGGCCAGCTGGGAAGGCACTTCATTACCAGAAAAAGTACCAAGCACAGTTACATCTGAAATGCCATCATCTTTAACTGCAAGGAAGTCAAACTGAGGTTCCACATCAAAATCATTAAAAATGAGGTGAATTCTGCTCCCTGGCTCGGATATAATCAACCACACACAGTTCATGTTGTTCCCATATTCCTCTGGATAGTTTGGTGAGAGAATAATCCCCGAGGGCGCGGTGAAATTGAAGAAACATGAAACTGCGAAAACACAAGAATTCATGTAATAGTTCATATCCAATCCAAAGTATTTGCAAGAAGTGACTGGGTGCTGGCAACTTGGGAAGGAATTCCATGTCTATAAATAATAATTGTTAGCCGTTGACTTTGAAAATGGTAATTCAGGACCATATCATTGCCTTTTTTCTATCTTGCATAGCACAAGCAGAGCCTATACATAATTATTACAGGCTTATTAAAATGATCCTATCAAATTGAGTGAACATTTATGACTAGGGTTCTAATGTCTAGCTATGAATAGCCTGCCTTCAGAGAAGCAGTTATTAATATGAAAACATATTTATGAATCACAGAAACAATTCTCTAAAAATTTAATATTATTTCTAGTCATTATTATCTTCTGCTTTTTCAAGTTTGCTGGGTTTTATTTTACTTTACCCTTTAAAGTTAATCTTTTCTAAGTTCATAATGTTTTTTAGTGATAGGATACATATTCTTAAACTAACAATATTGAAAATTTCAACATGTTCGACTTGGTCAATACAAAGTTCTCTTGAAAATTATTTTTAAGGATGTGTACTTTAGGATATGTAGATGTTTTCTCTTTTGGAGGAAATAAGATTCCTTCTGTGTCATCCAGGTACTGCTATATTTAGTTATAACAACCCCCCCAAAACATTTTACATTGGCTATTGTTAGCCAACAGGCAATTATTTTAAAATTCCAAATCATGTTCCGCTCATGTTTCACCTTGGCAAACAACTCGAGTTTCAAGTGGAAGACAATATAAATCATAAAAAGCCCTCATTGATTATTTATGTCTAATACAGAATATCATCAGAAGCTATTGACTGAAGCTCTGGTATTTTTTATGTACTTTCTAGTACAAAATGTTCAACTACATTTACCTAATAGATGTAATACAATCAATAATTGGTTTTAATTAAGTTGAGAAAGCAGGGAAAATGGTGCTGGAAAATGCTTTTGGGTGTTTCTGGGAAATGAAGCTTTCCTAACTTAGGTTAAAAATGACCCTCCCTAAAGGTCTTGTTTGCTTCTTTCCGTTTCTTCTCCATCACAAGGCAGTTGGGGAACCAGATGGGGTCAAGTCAGAGCACAGTACTCACAGACGCAACTGGGCTTGTTGCCAGACCACTGGTTGTTCTGCTGGCAGGTGATCACTCTCTCCCCCACCAGCTCAAAGGCAGCCTGGCATTCGAAGGTGAGCGTATCTCCATGAAGGAAGCTGCTGCCTGTCCGTTTCCCATAGGCGGGAATTCCTGGGTCTCCACATCCTCCCTTTGCAATTTCTGAAAACAGGAAACAAATTGAAAATCAAAAAAAGGCAGAAGAGATATTTTTAACTTCTCCCTTTAGAACATAAACAAATTGTTATTTCTGCTGGTCTAACCATGATCATTAACAAAGATTTCCTAGTAAATTCATTCAATTCTGAATTACAATAGATCAGGAAAACAGTGTCAATAAAAGCTTGAGAGAAAGGTATTTTGTTTCTTGTTTTTCAGGGATACAAATGGTATAGAGAGATGGATCTTCTAGGTCCATTTTGTGCCTGTTATCAATAGATGTTACTACTAAAATGTGAATATTGATTTTGTTTCATTCTATATGCTTCATTCAATTAAACAAATCAAATGAAAATGTCCCTCTGCAATGGAATATTTCCATTAATATGTTCACTTGAATAATATTCTTTCTCTTAAATTAATGTCAAAAACTATTTGTAAAACAAAAAGAATATATTTATGGTCTTCAGATGAAAAATAATATGCAGAATCCAACCTTGTTTCATTAAAATATAATGTGAGGAATGATGCATACTAAAGAACTTAAACTATAGATCTATTTAAATTTGATCTGTTAGAATTTTTAAAAATATAAAAATTAATACTTGAAATGTGCTATTTATTCACTTAATCATTTTAAAAAGTATCTGGTGAAGGTCATCTATGTCCCAAGTACTACTTAGGTGCTGATAGTAAAGAGAAAGGTGAGTAACTCCTTGGACAAGTATGGCTTTTTCAGACTTTGCTTGCTGTTGTGTGAGCTTCCTAAACTATAAGACAAACCAAACCCACGGCCACTGTGTTTTCGATTCTGACGTAGAAACCCAGCACAGTGTTCAGAAGACTGTAAACCTTCCTAGGAGCACATATCCAAATCTTTCTTTCAGAGTGGCTGGTAGCTTTTAGTTGCCAACTTTGCTGTCAGTAGCCCCAAGGTGAGCCCATGCATCACTAGGGATCCTAGGGAGAGCTTTATTTACATGAAGGCTTCTGTCTTCCACCCAGCCCGTGGGTTTGAGATCTTCCAGTTTTCACGGTGGTGTGAGAGGAAAGAGTATAAACTGGAAACTTCATGACACTTTCTACTTCATAGAAAGTCAATGAGACGGTCAGTGCTGTTTACTTGACTAGGCTGTGATTCTTGTTTGTTCTATAGTACAAAATAATATATTCACTCACGCGATTTAACCTGATGTGATCAACCAGTTAAAAAAGTTATAATAGAGGCTTCCTTATGAATGTAACCTACGTACCTTCAGTATATACAGGAATGTTCTAGTAAAGCTTACACTCTCAATCTTATGTCCTTCTAGGTGCCTGACCTCCAGATCTTGTGATATAAATATGCAGAAGTCTTCAACCAGCTCTTGACTGCAAATTTCAAGTTCCCAGAGTCGGAAAACCCCGGAGCCCACAGAAACCCTCAACCTTGCAGCCCCCGCAACATTGAGAGGCAGCTAAAGCCCTAAGTCGGCCCTCAGTCTATGGATTCATCACTTGCTTTTCCTTACAGTGGTGGGAGCCATTTCCATGAAATTATCTTCTCTTGATAGACAGATATAAAACTATATAGATCCCTCTCTCTATATATATAAACTCATTTTGAATAAAGATGTTTATTGATCCAGTATATTGATCCTTTATATATTTAATAAAGATTAAAGATTATAGCCTTCAGTATGGATCACAACTGAATGTAAAGAAAACCACAAAACTTATAACTGGACTAACAGACAACATTCTAATAATTGGAGAAAAGATTGAAATTCTCACACATTTCTTTTTTCTTGAGTCCACGATCAATGCTAATGAAAGCAGCAATCAGAAATAATGACGCATTGTACTGGGTAAAATGTACGGGGTAAACTCACAAGACCTCTCTAGAGTCTTGAAAAGCAAAGTTGTTATTTTGAGGACTAAGTTGTACCTGACCCAAGCCATGATATTTCTAATTGCTTCCTATGAGTGTGAAAGTTGGACATTGAACAAGGAAAACCAAAGAATTGATGGGTTTGAATTGTGGTGCTGGTAAGAATAGTGGAAGTCCCACAGACTGCCAAAAGGACCATCTAATTTTTCCTGGAAGAAGTCCAGCCAGAATACTCCTTAGAATCAAGGACAGTAAGACTTCATTTCACCTACTTTGGCAATATTATCAGAAGAGACCAGGCCCTGCACAAGGATACCCTGCTTGGTGAAATTGAGAGGAGACACAACAAAGGAATATCTTTGACATGGTGGATGGACACAGTGGCCGCAGCAACGGGGCTGTCCTTCTGTTGTACATGGGTCACTATGAGTAAGAACTGCAGAAAAGCACAGAAAAGACAACAAATGTGTGCGTGTGCGAAATATATGTACATCATTGCATATGTGTGTACTTCAGTTGTTCTGACCTTTCGTTCCTTCTGGAACACAGAGTAAGACAATGACCTTACTGTTCTCTTTCAACCTTCAAAACATGCTTTCGAGCACATTTCTAGGTGCCAGGGTGCTATGTTCAAGTATAAGTACAATCTTACCATTATGTGATTTATAGTTTAGAAATTATAACAAACTGTGATAAATAGACATCCTGAACTCTTTGTGAATAAACATCTCATCAACATAATTCTAGATGAATAATAAGCAAAAAAACTAAGGTATACAAATGAAAGCTAAAGAAGAAACATATTCTGTTCTTTACATAAGTGTTGTGCCATTCTTCTTCAGAGTGCTTACCATCTAGGCAGGAGTAACGGCACCTAAACTTACGTGGTAGTTACGTTTGGCCCAGAGCAATAAAGGCCCAGTCGAAAGGCAATAATCACAGAGATGTCCAAATTTAAGGACAAATCAGGAAACCCATTAGAATTGTTACACTACTTCTTCACTAATAAACTTTTCCCTACTAGGCTCATTCCATACCTTTCCCATTTTAATTTCCATTTTCTTTAAGTAACACCCACTAGTATTAGTCCTTCAATTCTTATGAAAAAATCCAAAAGGAGATAAAGAAAAAGTCCTTTCATCTAGAACTTTAGTTAGGATTGGTACTTAACTTACCTAGCTATTTATTATCATAACAAATGAAATATTTGAACACTTTAAGGTTCATATATAATGTGCATGTTTATATAATGACTAAATATTTTTAGAATTAGAAGCCATTGCATTTTGAAAAGAATGAGCCATTTTTAATTACAGGGAAGTTAAAAAAAACCCCAGACTCCTCCTTTGTCTTGCTTTCAGTAGTTTAACTCCAACCTTGTCTATGGGAAACTCTGTACACAAGCAATTAAAAATTCTGAAATTCAGAATTACCCAGTGCTTTCCAATAAGCAACTTAGCTACACTGTGAAGAACTTGACTCGAAATAGTGGGCAGAAGCCAATGTCAAACAAGGGCCTGAACAATACCTGAATGACAACGACTCATTGAGCTGCACCACATAGATGTGCACACAGTCTAGTAGACAAGAAAGGTTTAAACAGTGAGCATTCTTCTGAGAATCATGATTGGGTTATAACCCAAATGTAACCATGCTTCCCCAACAAAAAGGAACCCTAGTAGTGGTGTTAAGCATCTTTAGACTGCTCACCACAAGGTTGTCAGTTCAAAACCTCTCAAACCAAGATAAAGATGAAGTTATCTGATTCCGTAAAGCTTTTCAGCTTCAGAAACCCTCCAGAGGATTAGCCGGGGCTCCTCGCAGTGCATTGCCTTCATCAAACACACCTTTTCTGTCTCCACACCCCTAGGACTGGGGAAGCATTATAAATCTAGACATCAGAGGAAGCTTTCCTAACCTCCGACACTAAGTAATCATTAAATAAATATGCAACACAAATGGTATCTAAAGAAAAAGTTATCACATGCTTAGTTTTTAGAAAATAAAGTATAAATAAGATGGCTTTTTTAATATTCTCTGTTGGATAAATTAGGAGTTAAATATTTAAAGATAGTGATAAAAGGAAATTCCATTTCAGATAAAAAATGTGAGGTATTACTAAAACAGTTTTAAGTAAATGTGATAATTTTATATATAGCCTGGTTATAATAGGTACCCAGTTGTTTGTTCAAACAGTAGTTTAGTTATTGTGCAGATGTTTGATACACATGGTTAACATTTACAATCAAATGACTTGAAGTAAAGGAGACCATCAATATAACAAGAATGTTATTTGGCTTCATCCAATCAGTTGAAGGTCTTAAAAGAAAAAAAATGAGGTTACCTAAAGGAAAACATTTCTGTCTGAAAGCTTTAATACAGAAATCCTGTCTGCACATCTAGCCTGTAATCCTGCCTTGTAGATTTCAGATTGACTGGCTCCCAAAATAGTGCAACCTAATTACTTCATGTGTTTTATACATATGAAGAAACTTCCAGACATTTGTGGGAAAATTGAATTTATACATAAATATATTCACACACATATATATACATGTGCGCACACACATATGGGCTCAACAGAGTTCATGAAAAACTTATTATTTTTCAATTCCATGCTTCCATACATTTTTGAATCTCCCACGTAACGTCGTAACATGGGGCTTCCATCAGTCTGAACCTACCCCATGGCCACTGATTTCTGTGAATTGACATTATAAATATATAAAAGGCAAACCGATTTCTCCCAACTATCTCTGAAGTAATATGACCATTTTCTTCTGTGTTTTCTCACATGGTCTATATTTCTCAGACGTAGGAAGATATTTAAAAATATTTTCAAGACATTTTATCCAAATTTGAAATTTAAAAAAATACCAGCACAATTTTAAGGATACTTTCCACACTGGTAAAGATTCTTGTTGTGATATTAACAATCTAAAATAGGGATTAAATTACTGAATCTTCTTAATAAACAAAACAAAATGGGATTAAGTCATTTCCATTCATATCCAATTTTGTATTTTTATGAAAACCAATAATATATAGACGTAAAATCTAGCAACCCAAACCACAAACTATCATTTTAGCTTTTTACTGATGAGTGAATTTCATTCTGTCTTTGTCATGTATA